AAAAACCTCCGTACATCTAGTATTTAGTTAGGGCAAAAACCTCCGTACATCTAGTATTTAGTTAGGGCAAACTTCAGCAATAACGTCCGTGGTGAGTCGCTCGAACATGACATCGAGAAAATAAAGGAAGACAATAAAATCTTCCATTGGAGATAAGTCATATTTGATGTGAATGAGTAAAACAATTAAAATAGGAAAAGCAAACCTAAAGAAAGTTCTTAACAGAATCATCTAGAATATGAAAACTTTTGAAGAGAATCAAAAAAGAAAAGTCGAAATTGTATTTACATTGTATATTTATAGAAGACTTTGAAATATTTTTCCAAAGAGGTATTTTTTTTCAAAATTTGATACCGATAAACAATGTTGTTCCTGTCATGCGTTTGTAGTGCATAGTGTTTGAATAAACTTCTGCTGAATAGGAGGTTTCGCAGTGTTTTTGTAATTAGGAAAGAATAAGCGTTAATCTACTATTGGGATCAGGCTTCACTATATAGTTATACATGCCACTTGCTTACTATCAACAAAAGTTCTTTAATTCTAAGCTACAAATTATAACACTGCTGCTTTTCATATTGATGATGCTCCGTGTCGCCAAATAAAGTTTTGACTTCTTAGTGCACCCGATTTATTTTTGGAAACACCTCAACCATCAAAGCGACAATAGAGGTACTATGTGATAAAACGTTGTACAGTGGGATACTTTCGTCAAAATAGGAGTCGTAAAGGGTTAAATGACGTATTTTGGTTCTATCTGAATTATCTCTCAAGTTTAGACTGAAAAACTTTAGATCTGAAGGATTCAAATTTAAAGGAATAAAACACTTCAAACAAACGCTTTCACGCTTATACAAATAAACCTTTCTTCCTTATATTTATCTATTCTTCCATTTAAATTGATTATACTTATTCTTCAGCATCAAATTATGCGTGAAACATTAACCCCTTCTTCAATTTTACGGATAACTTGGGATTCTGTAAGTAATTGTCTTTTCGTTCAACGGCTAAGTGGGAAACACTTCTCGGTAACAAAACTGAGCAGCAATAAACTCTTCCCCGAAACTTGGGAGATTAATCATTATCTTGGTGCCAGTGGCTGGGGACCCCTTCTTGACCTATCTTGTCTTGCCTGTCTGAATTGCTGAGCGATTACCTCAATTATATCGCCTAAGGCATAAGCTAAGTACCCAGCTATCGAAACATAAGCACTATAGACTATACCTACCACCCAGCTATTAGTGAGCTTCTCGAGTATCTTAAGAGTCACAGCACCACTCAAATAGTAAAATGCGTACTTGCCAAATGTGGACCAAAACCTCTTATCTCTAGCATGCAGTGGACCATGATCATAAGCCATACCTCTCTTGACTAATTCCTCGTGGGGTTTATATCGATCGGTAAAGCATTCTGTCACCGGCACCACTTCCAAAGTTTCCCTTTTTGATAAGGTATTACTTTTATTATTTTTAATGTACTCCAAGTTCGAGGCATTAGTGTCAACACCTAATACGTTATTATCCAAGTCAACCAAAGCGTATAATATAATATCGAGGTTGGTTTTAGGTTCAAAAGAGTTATTGGAGACAGTCCGGACAGGATTTATGGAATCATACCCGCCAGCATCCAGAACGCATTTGTCGATATTTTCCAAAACCTCGTCCCATGTAGTGTTATGGTTCTTCCATAAGTAATTCAAGCTGCAATTACCAATTTTCTTGTTTTCTTCAAAGTGAACTTCAAAAGCCTCGCCACCAGCGTACTCTGTTCTAGTGCAGCTAGCTTGTGTTGACGTGAATATCAAAAGTATTAAGCTTGTTATACTTGAGGCTTTCATTTATCAAAAAATCAGTTGCTTATATTGTCAATACAGAAAACAGAAAAGGCAGAAGAAGATTTAAAAGGAAATTCTATACGGCGAGAATAAATAAACTCAAGCTGGTGTAATAAAATCCGTACATCTTTTCTCTTTGTACAATGTTGCAAAAAGTAAAACTCGTATATTGCGAGCCCATTTGCATCATTCTGCGACACTTTGAATATGATTAAGGTTGGATTGGCGTATTTAGGTAGCTTCGTATTAACTAGTATTGTCTATTTCTCCCTTCGAAAAGCTTAGTTCCAAGCTTCAAGAAATGCAATCGGGTTGTTCTTTTTTGCCTTTCACCAACATCGGTTGTTATTTCTGTTTGGAACCTAAAGTTCTAAGTCATAAACCTTATTGAAAGTCCAGTGGATTATCTTTCTATGGCACAGTTGTAATGTTTTTCTGTAAAAGATTTGAAATATTTAAATACGTGTAGTGTAGTGTCGATATAAGGTTTGTGCCAACTTTAGTAACTCTTTGATACTTTATTAATGTGGGAAGTGTTTCTCGTCTCTTTCTTTATGGTTAACACAAGTCCATATCACGTAGACTGAGCGATTAACGCTCAACCTCTTAACTATTTATTACTTGTATCATTAACTCCAAATTAGTGAATGTGTAAAGCATCCTTTGATAAGCATCTTTAATTATGATAATTTATATAACATATAAGTGTTTTGTTAACTCGTTTCAATAAGAACTACAGGTCGCTCTAAAAACATAGAGTAAAATCTAGTATAATATTAAGCTGAGCTTATTCTTAACACTTACTTACCAAAAGCATGAATGAGCACGCACTCTGTATTTAATATGAGAAAGAAACTATCTACGTAAAATGTAAATATAAAGGGCAATTGATGAATGATAATAGAAGTGGTTAGAAAACAGCTAGGGGACTACTTATATATGATTGCGTAATCGATGAGACTTCGTTATTTTGATGTGTGTTAACCATGCTACCATATTGGAACATAAAAGATGGGGCAGCGGCTCTCGAATCAATCATCTCCCTCTCGCCATTTTCTTCAGGAAAAGATAAAAGCTATGTTATTTAATTGGATTTGGACTCTCTTGTTAGTATATGTGATGGGTACGGGATCGGAAGTTGAAGTCTTCGATATAAATCACTCATCGTTGAACTTTTCAAACTCAAATGGGAAGCCATACGGTCGATCAAACCCAGTAGGCCGTGAATACAAAGAAAAACTTGACGAAGCTGAGTTTCAGAAAATGTATGAGCAAGAAATACATTCGAGTATCTATGGCCTCTTTTACGGTTCTAATGTCATATTGAGTATTGCTACAAACAAGACTTTGCTTATCGAAAACTTTTCTAACATTACTTCTGGCTTTTTACTGGAATATAACTTGAACGAGGATGAAGAAGCTCATGTGAAGAATTTCAGAATCTCTGGGTTACATGAAAATACTTTAGCCCAATTGAATAAAGAAAAGATTTCAGATCATATCCTAAAAAAAGAAGATTCCCAGAGTTGGAGTTGGTTTATTTATATTTACATTTACATTGTTGCTGGAATCATAATGAAGTTTATTCACATTAATAGCGGGTCAGTTATTGTAGCTCAACTACTTGAATGTCATCTTTTAATCCTTTACGCAATTGTATACTTTTGGGGTAACTGCGTCAAGGCAGTCCCAGAGACATTCAGTAAGGTCCAACATAAGTACAAACAAGGGGACTTTTCAGTCGAGTGATTGAATGGATATAATAGATTCCAGCGTCTTTGATTGCTAAACTCCAAACGGAAGCACCTGATGTATATAATAAAATCTTCGATAGATCATTAGCTTGGATAACGAGTGACATTGAAAGCTTTGGTCCTTTAATAGACTATGATTAAGAATACCGTGTCATTGTATTAGAGCAAAAGTGTTTACAACAGCACATACTGCATTGAAATAAAAAATCAACTGACCTCAAACTAACAGGTACTTCAAAAATCCATTATTATCAAGTGATTCAAGCCAAGTCCACCTTCAGGTCTTATAGAGATGTTAATGCAGGCGATACATAAAGTTTGCCAATATTTCAATTAGCTTAGTGAAAAATTCTTTCACCTCCAATACTTTTTGGATACAAATCTGACTTATTAACTGATATTAGAACTTTTTTAAACAAAATCGAGAATACAGACTTATGAAAATGAAATCTTTTACAAACTGCTCACTTATTCAAACTTTTTTTCGTTTCTCCGGCTAATATATTAATGCTCTGTTTCGCTTTACCCCTAATAAATCATCATTCTTCTTTCCCTACCCTTTATAATTTTTCTTTTTTTTTTTTTTGACAATCTAATAACACTTAAATTCTTGACTGTACCCTTTAATCTTACGTCGCTTTGAATATTCTTTGCCGTGCTTATAATCTTCGCTTTCACTTTTGTATTTTTCTCGTCTATGCATTTTTCACGCTAGCACTTGATGAACAATTCTCACTAATTTTGCATAATTTTGCACCCAAATCCCATAAAAATTCCCTAAATGCTGTTTTCACACTTTATAATCTTCAAGGCTTCATTATTATCGTCCGTGCATGTTCCAGAATCTCTCTTGTGTCTACTTATTACATTTGTATTTGTATTTTTATTTGTATTGTATTAAATAACGGAAGCAAATCGAGTAGTTAAGTGGTCTGGTGCTAACCAGCAAGTGAAATGTTTTACAGCTGGTGTTACAACGAACTAAGGACTTTATCAAAAAGAACTCATCTCAAAATTGTGGAAATTTGACCAGAATCAGAATTTAAACCTGGAATCAAACGTTTCTCAAATGTCAGCAAATATCACCATGAAAAACCAAACTTTCCTGAGTTCGTTCCTCGATCAACTTCCGATAACAGCTTTTCTCTGTTTCTTCCGGCTATCAGATAAGCACATGCTCTGCTTCAGTTATGATGTAATCCTCTTCTATTAACAGATCTGCTCATCGCATCGATTATGTACCGAAGCCTCATCTCAGCTCGTTTTTTTTTCTTTGTTCGTAAAAACGCCTAACAAAACAAAAAAAAAACGAGTTAAATTTAGAAATATCAACAAAAAAAGAAAAAAATATGTCAAAGGAAATAAATTTTAAACAATTGAGTGATTTCGAAAGGTTGTGAGGCAAACTTCTACCGATTTCTAAGAATACGACCTCGTAATATGCCGATGGCTCAATATCAACAATTTTGTAGTACGATTGTGTCAAATTCCACCTGAGGTCTCTAAATTTAGGAGGCCCTAGGGTTTTGCCCCGGTACAGAGGGTCATTTGAGAATTATTTGCTGATTCTTTTTATGGGGAAGTTGACTTTGAGCTACAGTGTTGACATATTTTGTGATGCTATTAATACCGTTTCTTCATATTTGTAGTTGGTGTTGTTGTTTATCTTCGTTCTTGTGGTTCATTCTTTAAATAGTCTTGAATGGAAAAATGTCCTTTAGTAAGCTCTTAATATTCTTACATGTCTGCAAAATTCCACCAATATAAATTGACCATTGCTCCCATCATTTTTCAATTAGTTTTTTTCATTTCTACATCATTACAACTCAAATAACTCAATCAAAAAACTTACAAAAATGCAATTCTCCACTGTTTTCTCTATTTCAACTTTAATTGCCATTGCTGCTGCTGCTAAATCTTTTGGTGCTGTTTCAACCCATTCTGGTTCTGACTACCAATATGCTGCTGTTACTAATAATGGTAACTCAATCACTCTTAATAAAGGTGACCAAGTTGAATTCATCTTAAACGATGATAAATCTTTAGTTGATTCTAAAACTAAAAAATACATTTCCTTAGATTCAAATAAAAACCTAGTTGAAAGTGATAAAGCTGATAAAAAATTCGCCCTTTCTTCTTCTGGTGGTGATCTTTCTTTCCTTACTTATGATAATAAACAACAATTCAGTGTTAACACCAAGTCTAAAGATTTAAACATCGCTACTGGTTCTGACAACCTTGGTGTTGGTATCTTAGCCGCTAGCCCAAAAGATGTTGATAACCTTTATCCATCTACTTCCACCAAGACCACTAAAGATGCTAAAAAAGATGCCAAAACTACTAAAGCTTCTGAACCGACTTTTGCTGTTGATCAAAAAAATGAATACCAATTTGGAGTTGTTTCTATTCACTCCGGCTCTAAATTCCAATACGCTGCCATCAAAAAAGTTGATTCCCATCCTCATGTCTTCTCCGTTGGAGGTGATGAAGGTAAAGACGTCACTTTAACCTTAAGAGCTGATGGTACCTTATACGACCAAGATCAAAAAGGAATCTACGTCGACCCAAAAACTGGTGAATTGGGTAACGTTGCTCCTTTCGGTCGTCAAGCTCCTTCTAAAGGTTTCAAAATTGTCAACGGTCACTTAACTTACCAAGGTAAAGATAACTGGTCTGCATGTCCATCTGGTGATAACAAATTCTCCTTGGCTAACAATGGCTGTACTGGTGGTACTGGTATTGCTTTAGAAGTTGTTAACGAACGTACTCTTTAAGTCCGTTACTATTGATTTTCATCCACTCTTCATTTCTCTCGTTATTCTTTGGTTTAATTGATCTTTGTCATGCTTATTCGGTTTCGCATTTATGTATTTATAATATTTTTAATAATCTCTTTCTATAGTCAATTACATTTTTTCGTTTTATTCATTATTTGTAGAATACTCATATATTCTTTTTTTGTAAGTTTTACTTTTCTGAATACCTACAGATGCAACCAGTCACTTCAAAGCTTATTTTGGTGTGAACAGCTATTTTCCTTAAATCTGCAGACAGTAATATACTCTATAAGATTCATTTTCAGTCTTCCCCTTTTAAGTCCCATAAATAATTGCTTGTTGAAAAAAGCACTTACTGAAACTTGCCTAATTTTAGCACTTCTGAAGATAAAATCCCAACATAAAATGATAAAATTATGGTGTGCTTTGAACCTTTCAACAGAATTGTAGTTCCTAAGAGAAGAGCTCTTAATTATTATCCAAATCCTGATTTAGATATAAATCTGACTACTTCTTACTTGGTGGACTTCGGTCGGTAGATCTGGAATGCGAAGAAGAGGGAACATTGTACATTTTATACTCATGAAGAGAATTTGCAAGTAAAACAATAATATGAAAAGTTAGTAACCGATGCTTTAGTGAATAATTGGGGTAAATCGCAAAGAATGATTCTGCTTTGGTATCTAATGTCACAAATCTCCTAGTGTTGCAGCTGCGAAAGGAACTATTTTTAAGCTGCGACATTAGCTGTGATGCATTAAATGCTACATCAAAGTACAGTTTTATGTTCAGAGGACGAAAACAATGATATTGGGAGTAAACTAAACAAAGAGGTCATAGATCGTTGATAAGATAGAATAATAATCAAACATTTTCTAAATTAGACATTTTCAAGTAAATATCGGTACCTCCTTCACAATCTTTACCAGAAACTAAGGAGTACTTGTTTTCACCGCTTGGGCAAGCTTTCCATTCACTCTTGCCTTGATAAAGTAAAATATCATGGGTGTAAGAAAACTCTTCAGTTGGACTTTGAGTTCCACTTACGCTTCCAACTTCACCAGTGTCGGGGTTAATGTAAACACCAGTTCCATCTTGATCTTCTAAAGCAGTATCTTTAAAAGTCAAAGATAAGTCATCACCTTCATCCCCACCCACGGAGAAAACAAAAAGATGGGAATCAACTTTTTTAATAGCAACACCGTCTAAAGTAGTACCTGAGGCACCGGCTTTAACATCAAATTTGAGATCAGCAACAGCGGCAGCAGCAAAAGTTAAAATAGATAAAGTTGAGAATTTCATTTTGGATTTATTAGTTTTATTGATTGATATTAATTATAATTATAAAACTTTTCATCAAATTGTGCAATCAGGTACTCTTATATACTCCAGGTTTACCATTTAATAACGACGAACTCAATTGGAACCGTCTTCAAAACATCAAACATTTGAATAAAAATAGATTCAAAATTTCAGCCTCAAAAAATTGACAATAATTCAAAGGACTAGAGAAAATTCTATGGTTGCAACTTTTATCTTGGCCAAATGACATAGAATATCTCGTTATAATCTAATAGAAAGAATTGAAACGGCTCCCCTCAATCTAAAAATACTACAACCTAAGCATGCAATTTAGATCAAGACTAAGGGGTCTGCATGCAAATCGAAGGTTCCATAAATAATTCAACCATAAAAAGTTGGATAACCGAACCTTCGGGGCATAATTATTCATTTACTTATTTATTTGTTTATTTGTTTAAAAATATGTCAAGTTCTATAAATAAAATACGATCTCATTTAAGTTAAGATATATTTTGCATATTTTGCATGCATATAGAGATTGGATGTGAAATTCTACAAGAGTAAATAGCAAAAGCTATTCTTAATCGACAATACTAAGCAGCTGATTGACTATAAACTCATAAAAGAAACTTCAAATGTAACTCACATACAGCAGTCATCTACAAAACTATACTTACCATCTCTTCACTGATTCTCCTCGTTTTGATGTATTTAGATTTAGTTGAATGACCACGAACACCCCGTACGTTCTGTAAACTCTTTGCCCCTAGCCACGAAATTATAATAAAACACGTGAAACTGTAGTATTAAAGAATCATTTTGAGGCTCGACATCATCTCTCTGGGTGTTTATTACTAGAATTTCAATAAGTAAAGGTAGTCACTTGGCTTGGGAAAGAAACTTCAAATTAGAGAAATGAGAAACTCTGAATATGTGTTGTGAGTAAGATGTGAAATTTTGGGATGCTTCCATGAAGATAGGTTGAAGAGATCATTATATACAAAGACTTTCTCTTTATGGTGCATACTGGACTTTGATAACCGGAGGTTTAATTTTAAAAGCACATGAAGGATTAAAAGAAGATCCATTTCAGATTCGGTAAGTTATACAAGCTTAGAAAGAAATGATCAAGTAGTTGTTCTCCTCTTAATTCAGAGGAACAATTCCGTTCATCTGTTAATATGAACAAATAGTCTAAACTTGAGGGATTTCAGCTCATTCTTGCAAATCTAAACCGAAAGCCTTCATAATACAGCTTAAGCCCAATTTTTTCCCTTTTACCTAATTTGGGTTCTGTAATACTTTATTAAAATAGAAATAACTTACTTCTATTTGACCATGCAGATGGGAAAAAGGAAGGAGCTCGGAATTCCCTATTTTTTGGAAAGAAATACCTTCAGTACAATGAAATATTACTAATGTATGATAGAATACACCTTCCCTGACTACCCCAAATCTATTCCATTATGTCGTGTTTTTCACATAAAAACTGATAAGACGATTAAAGTTTCCTTATCAGCATAGTTATACGATCCCCCTCCATATTATTTTTTTTTTTCCACTCTTGCAATTCGATCGAAGGAAGGTCGAGGTCGCAAAGCCAGATCTTTTTGCTGCTTAACTACTTTGATGTGACGGCTTCTACGAGTCATAGGGATATAGGAGATAAAGAATACTAATTGAAAATGTGAATAAATTGTGAACATCTTGCTGTTATTGTGAATTAAAATAAGTTTACTTTTAGCCAGAAAATGACCGACTCGACAGATATTGATGAAAAAAAAAATCAAACCGTCATATCGGTAGATGTACTTGAATCAGGCCTGCCCGCTGTGGAACCATTGGTCGTTAAGGATAAAGAAGGTAAGGAACTAAGAAGAGCAGAAATTGTCTCACAACCAGTTACTACAAAATGGGAACTTTTTGGTTACGCTTTATATTATTTTGCCAATAATTCCACTGGACCCTATACCTATACTCCAACCGCTTTCCAGAATATTTTAAATCAAGGGGGTTACGATGCCGATAAGGGTAAAAGTTTTAGGTGTACTGATTCAACAACCCGTTGCTATATCAACTTTGGGAGCGATAGAAGTATTGATTCTGTTGTTTTAATTTGTCAAGGTATCGGATTTACTTTGCAGACTGTGATATTTTTATTTCTTGGTGGTTTTGCTGATTACGGGAATTCTGGATCTTGGATTTTAATTGGCTTTAGTATTCTATCCTGGGGGGTCCAAATTGCTTGGATTGGAGTTCATGATGGTTCTAAATATCCTGCGGCTATAGCTTTGAGTATATTGGCGTCATTTGGGTACCAAGGTTGTCAATCATTTTGGACAGCTTTGTTCCCAAGTTTAGCCAGAGGGCTTCCAAAATCAAGAGAGCTTGAAGGACTAATGTTGGATCAAAAAATCACTGAAGATGAATACTATGCTCACGATGAACATTATAGAAATAAGATTTCCAATTATAGTTGGGCTTTTTCAAATGTTGGTATTTTCACTGTTTCTGCTGTATCGGTAGGTATCTTGTTTGGAATACATTCAAGGAAATCCGAATCTCAAAATAATTGGGGGATAAGCGTTGTTATTCTTTGGGCGACATTATTTTGGATAGTTTTTGGTATCCCTTGGTTTTTCATTCAAAAGAAGAGAATTAATCAACATCTTCCTCCTAACACAAATTATTTCACTCTCCCGTTTAAACAATTAGCTTATAGTTTTAAAAGCTTTAAGACTTTGAAACAGACTTCTATTTACCTTTTATCTTATTGGCTTCTTGGTGATGGTTTGAACACTTCCCTCAATCTTCAAAGCATTTTGCAGAATGATGTCGTTTCGTATGATATGATAAGTGTGAGTCTTTTGAACTTATTAAATGCTGGTTGTTCAATTATTGGAGTGTTTGTCTTTTGGTCTATTCAACAAAAATATAAACTCTCAACCAAAACTATGTTTATGGCTAATTCCATTTTCATCACTTTTTTACCTCTCTATGGCTTGATCGGGACTTGGACTCAAAGGATAGGTTTTCATCATGTTTGGGAAGTTTATGCCTACAATGCTTATCTGGGATTATTCATAAGCCCTTATTATGCTTATAGTAGTACAATGATGAGCTGTGTCTCACCTAGGGGTAAAGAATACTTATTTTTTGCCATTTTCAGTACTATTAACAAAACATCAAGCTTTATTGGACCTTTCGTTACGTCTGGTATCATTGATAGGACAAACAACACCAATTCAGGCTTCTCTTTCACGCTTGCTCTATGCTTTATTTCGTGTGTTTTGACAACTTTTATCAGTGAAAAGAAATCTAGAATCGAATGTGAAGAATTTTTGATAGAGGAAGATCGCAAGATAAAAATGGGTGAGCCTTTGGTTTTTTGATTATAGTTTATGATTTTGAATTTAATATATTTTGAAATAATTCGTTAAAATCTATTTTGTAGTATTTTTCAGTTTTAAGCTCATTTCTTGGAAATGTGAGAACAATCTTATAAATTTCGCAGCCAATCAGCCGAAAATACAAAAAAACTTACAAAACTTGAAAAAAATAAAAAGCATAAAAAATAGGATATAAAACTAAACACGAGGATATATAACTAAGCACGAGGATCTAAAACAGATTAGTAGGATAAATAAAGTTAAACGTAATCTACTTTCGATTATTATTCTGAATTATTTGTTCCCATTCTTCATCCGTCACTTCCATTTCCTCATAAGTCTTGCTGAGATACTTGGAGATTTCTTTTAAATTGTCCATCACTGCTTCCTTATCAAATTTATGATCAGCTCTACGAGCTCTGATGGTGGAGTTTAAATGATCCAATCTTTTCTTGATAATTTCACTTCTGTAGTCAATCCATTCAGCATAATAATCGGAATATCTAGAGCCCCAATTAATCTCTGGCTTAACAGTACTCAAAACAGAAGTTTCAACTGTTAATGGGTTTTTAGGTCTAAAAGAAGTGACCATAGTCATTCTCTCGCTTGAACCCAAAGGCTTAGGCGCAATATGTTCAATAAATCTACCTTGTAAAACACAGGCATTACCACGAGAGGGTCCCGGAACTGGGATAACTTCTTCAGTAGTTTCACCTTCTCTTAGCCCTTTTCTTAAACAAGTTTCACCACCAATCATATTAGTTGTATCTGATAGCATAAGAACACAAACAAGTGGTGGAGAGTCATAATGCCAGCCAACAACAGCCGGAATATCTTCACCATTACTTACACCACTCAACGATTGTTCCCTAGCGAATTTGATTCTTTCTTCTGCAGCCTGCTCTTCACTTTTCATTGAAATATTTACAACGGCAGTTTCGTAATCGTAAATTATTTCCAATTCAACATCTGCCATTTTACTAATCAAATCGATGGTCAAAGGATGGTTCCAAGCACTATGAATAAAAGGACAATTAATAGTATCCATGTTCTTAACGTACCCTCTTAAACCGGCATCCAATCCACTTGTTGAACGATATGAGTATCTAGTATATTTCAAGAAGATATCCCGATTCAAAAATTCTTACCTCATTAATGAAATAGCTTCATCAGTGAAAAGAGGGAAAGGATCAGTTACACCGATTTCTGTGATTTGATCAGGGTGAGATCTTCTTAAATCTTCCATAGATAATCTTCTAGTAGAATGAAACTTCTCCTTCTCTTTCTCATCAGCATAGTATTTCAAATGCTTATAAGGATCAAATTTAGTTTCAACAGCTTTGGTTCCACTTTTTTCAATGACTTTGTCATATATTGATTTTAAATTGTTATTATAAACTGATTCCAGAATCAGTTTATCAATACGATTATTATGAATACTTCTTAATAGATCTGGAGTAGCCATTTTTTTTATTTTGCCTTTAGTACTTAACGGTTGATATTATACATACGGCTACTTCTTCCAAAAACATCTAAATTTCCACTCTATTTATATTTCTTTTAGTCTTATCTTATAAATGAGTGCCCCTTAATACTTACAAGACGATAGACCATTATTTAAATCCAGAAAGAGAACGTTTAACGATTAAGATCTTTATACTATTGCGCTTAAATACCCTGTTCCCTGTTTAGAACAAGTATAATTCATCTGACAATTGCCAAAAATGAATGCGAAAAATGATAACCAATCTTATCAATTATTCCGCTACCTTAATCCACAGGACCTACCCAAAGCTTTGTAAGCAAAGTTTAAACCAGCTACATTGAATATTGGCGAAATAGGTTCCAGGCAATTACTCTAAATAATAATATATAATACTTTCTCAGCGAAATTTCGAGGGATTAGTTCAGGATAGGCTTCGTTTTCAGCTTCAAATTGATCCAAACCATCAAATGAGATTTCTTCTATGGGAGTAATCCAACTTCTTTCACCTTTCATGTAAGTATAAATACGCCGACCAATATAAAGAACTGATACAAAGATTATTGTAAGATAAGCAGCGAAAAAGTCACTCATGTTGAAATTAAAAAACACTGCGTAGCCGTTCGTTATACCAAGAACAACGACAAAAAAGATGACAAAATAAGTACCATAAGGTTGGAAAGGAGTCCTATATGGAACTCTATCACTTAATTCATGATATTCAATTGCCTTACGCCATCTAAGGTAAGCAAACCCAACGAATATCCAAGAAATGAAACCAGAGATTGTAGTTATATTTGATAGCCATGAAAAGACTTGAGCAGACGATGACGAGACATTTAAGTATGCCAAACCTCCAATGGACCAACAAGATAGGACACTGATTAGAGGAATTTGATGTCTATTGGTTTTAGAAAATATTTTCGGAGCCAATCCACGTTTAGACAAAGAGAAAAGTGCTCTTGAAGAGAAATAAACCCAGGAATTGGCTGATGAAGCTGCAGAGGTTATAAACACAGCATTAACAATTTGATTCAATACTGGAATACCTGCATTTTTAATACCCAAAACAAATGGAGAACCAGACGAAGTGTCAGAGCTACCATATAATTGGTCATTATTAGAATCAACAATGCATCCAATAACGATTGAAGAAATAACATAAAAAATTATAAGACGATAAACGAAACTATTTGCTGCTTTTCGGATATTTCTTCTTGGTCTCTCTACTTCAGCTGCTCCTGCAACCACCAATTCAGGGGAGCTTGTAAATGAAAATCCAGTTTTAATAATAGCAGTCCAAACTGATAAAAATTTACCGGTGTCCCCACCTACCAAGTATTCCTTGAAAGCTTTTCCATTCTTCCAGTACCTGAAACCTAAACGATCGTGATTTGGGGCTCCACCAAAAAAAATCACTATACCTAAAATTATTAAGCCGACAATTGTGACCAATTTAATGTAACCAAACCAGAACTCCATTTTACGGGAGATAAGTTCAATACAAGAATCAAAACTAAGAATACACTAATCCAAACAGCTGCGTTCACATTACAGAAATAATCAAAAAGTGCTGGGATAACACTGATTTCAGCAGCGACATAGATAACACCAATATAAAGATAATTATAAGCTAGAGTGAAACCCAAATCGTGAGATAAGTAATCATTTATGAATATGGCTGCACCCGAACCATTTTTACTGAATGACAAGAAACTTGCCATTTCCGCTAAAATATTCATAATGAAGAAAACCACTATTGAAAAAACTAAGTAACCTATCAACATTGGTGCTGGTCCAGTGAGTGATAAAGTTGCACCGCTGTTAACGAAGAGCCCAGTACCAATAGCTCCACTTAGAGATATTACTGCCAAATGACGGGATTTCATACCCCGATGCAAACCCAGTAATTCATTTTTTTCATTAATAACTTTAGAATCTGCAGCAGATATCAAGTCATCAACTTCTTGAAAACTCAAATCATAGTTTTTTGAATCTTTCATTATCATAGTTAGATTACTAAGCGTAATTACAGCTGGCTAAGGTGTAGCTTTTATAAATCTACAAAGTAATTATTAACCGCAAAAATCCTTATCTTAGTTGTGCACAGGGCGAGGATCGAAACAAAGCTGCTTTCCTATTTGGGTGATGCGCTTAAAAGCTTTGTTAGTCTCCCTCCTTAAGCCTGAGTTTATCTTATCAGAAAGTACTTATTGGCATATAGAATGGCTGGAATGGTTGTTTGTGAGTCAAAGGTAAAAGGCTATACAATTCGTATGATTTGTATGGACATACATACTTTACAATTATTTTAAGGATCTTTGTACAAGTTTATATTTCTATAGACTGAAAGAAGTTCAGTTTTTTGAGCGATACATAAAACTACTAACTGGCTTCAAATATCTTCAGCAGTTAAGTCTTTTTTAATTCTAAAAGGACGACCTCTCCAGTCGATTTCATGACCAATCATTGCAATGATCCAGATGGGTAAAGCCAAAATTTCTCGCATAATCCAAATGAAGAGCCAACTCCACCAATTTTTCGAAGGTAATTTTCTAACCCAAGGTAAATTAGAAGATTTAATATTATTAATCCAATTATTATATTGAATATAATCCGTTATAACCCAAATTAACATGTGAATTGAGAAAATTCTCCAATTAAACCATTGATTAAAGAAAAAAGTAGATAAACTATAAGTACCGAATATACCACAGACGATTGATTCCGTAGAAGGCTCGATTAAAGTAGCCATTAAAACCATATATTTACGAACTCTTAACCAACGAACACGACGAGTGACATAATCGTTAATTGAGTTATCAACACCACTTAAAGGTTGAATAACACAATCACCAGTTAAACCAGTTTTACCGAACAAGTATTCCCATAAGGCTATACCAATCATATTATCCTCACCAATATAGCGAGCAAATAATTTGATTGAATTACCAGGACCTAAAGAAGAATAATGATGAGCATCAGAAATCACCGATTTATTATGGAAAAATGGAGAAAAATTATCTGGAATTGAAGCAACGGCTTTATCAAGATCAGAGCGACGATATAAATTTGATTTGCCATTGACACAAGGAGCTATACTTAAATTATTTAGGGAAACATAAAATTTAGAATGAGAAGTTAATAGGAACATTTCATCTAATTTAGACCCCCAATTTTTATGATTTAAATCCGTGGTTAAAGCTAAGGGAACGTGATGAACTAATTTAACTTTCCTATTATTTGAACCATTTGGTAAATGGCGACCATTATTGGTATTTTCAATCAAGGATTTAACAGAATTTTTCAAAATATTTGGAGAAGCCCAAACATTTGAATCCATAATCCATAAAATATCGTAATGAGCATATTTAAAACCTTTTGATAAATTATTTACTTTTGGATTAGGACCAAAATGATCAATTGATTTATTTGTAACTGGATCAAAATATTTTGAAATCAAAATTTTTGAATCGATTTCAGGATATTTATTAATAAGATTTTCAATTATTGGGATTGAAGCATCTCTAGGATCATCAATACAGAATAAAATTTGCAATTTATCCGAAGGATAATGTTGTAAGAAACTTGATTCTAAACAATGAGTTAATTCTGGATCAATACCTTTAATTGGTCTTATTATAGTAACTGGTTCCAAATTACTTAGATGGTGATTTGGCGCATGATTAAATTTTTTAAGTATTTCAATGAATCCAAGATATGCAACAAGTATAATGATTATATACCAAATTAAAAAGAACCAAGCCGATATTATGCGAAAATAACTTAGATCTTCTATATAAGTTAGCATAGTTGCTTGATTAAGAAGACCATCTAACGCGTTAGGCAGTTTTTTTTTCACTTGATGTCTGCAAACCGAAGTCGTCGGAATATATGGGTTCCACAGGTAAACTGTAACATGCAAAGTTGTAACATGTAAACCCACTAGGTCAATCTGCAAACACACAACTTGCAGTTTCCCACAATTAACATGTAAAACAAGGAAATTAAACTGCATAATAAATTTACAGATTGTATCGAGGCAATATGCAAAATATTCTCAGTAACATGTAAACAACTATTACAGGTTACATTGCAATAACCTGTAATAGTTGTAGTTCCTTTCCCCGGATGTACGGGCGCGTTAACACTTGAACCGAAGTCAACCTCGGCAGAATGGAAAAGCCCAGCGAACATGGGCTTAAAAAGGGCGCAACAAATGGTATGAAAGTTTGTGGGGTTAAACCACTGTGAAAAAAAACTGAAGAGTCAAATTTTATATAAGTAGTTCCATTTATCAGAATATTCGGATAAGATAATCGGATACTTAACTCCTTGGACATATAAATATCTTGAGTTAGGTCTTTCAATTGGGATAGGATTATCTATAATAGTAAAGAATGATCAAAACATTAAGATTCAATAAAATGAGTATTAATAAACAATTTTCAACTAGTGCTTTAAAAGGAGATTTATATAAATATCAAAGTAAATTACCTAAATTACCAGTACCAACTTTACAGGAAACTAGTGAAAAGTATTTGAAAACAATTGAACCATATCTTTCTCAAGAACAATTGAAAAAATCAAAGTCATTAGTTGCCGATTTTGTTAAAAGCGGAGGAGTTGGAGAAGTATTACAAAATCGATTAATTGAATTTGCTAAAGATAAGGATAATTGGTTAGCTGAATGGTGGGATGATTATGCTTATTTATCCTATCGTGATCCTGTAGTACCATATGTATCATATTTTTTCAATCATAAAGATATTAATACTAAAATTGGTAAGGATCAATTATTAAAATCTTCATTAATTGCTTATTACACTACTAAATTTTTAATTGAAGTTGAAAATGAAACTTTAGAACCAGAAATTATTAAAGGTAATCCATATTGTCTGAATGCTTTTAGATATATGTTTAATAATTCTAGAGTTCCTCATGAGGGAAGTGATTTAACTAAAATGTATAATGGTAAAGACCATAGATATTTTATTGCTATTTTCAAAAATAATTTTTATAAAGTTTATCATCATGATTCAAATGATGAATTATTATCCAAGACTGATATTTATAATCAATTATTAGCCATTACTCTTGATAATCAACCAAAGGGTGAAGGATTAGGAGCATTAACCTCATTAAACCGTGACGAATGGTTAAAATCATATAATTCCTTGGTTAAATCTCCAATTAATGAAGCATCTTTAGAAAGTATTTTTGCTTCTTCATTTGTTATTTGTCTTGATGATAACACTCCAATCACCATTGAAGAAAAATCCAAGAATAATTGGCACGGAGATGGACAAAATCGTTTCTTTGATAAACCATTAGAATATTTCGTTAGTGCCAATGGTAATTCTGGATTCTTGGGTGAACATTCTAAAATGGATGCTACCCCAACTGTTCAATTGAATAATTATGTTTTACAAGAAATCAGTAAAGAAGATTCCAACCAGTTTATCAATGACGTTAATTCAAATTTGAAGAAATTGACTCCAGAATCATTAAAATTTGATATTAATCCAGTGGTTAGACAAGATATCAAAGATGCAATTGAGAAATTTGACCAGACCATTGCATCTCACGATGAAGAAGTATTCCAATATTATGGATACGGTAAGAATTTGATTAAGCAATTTAAAGTTAGTCCCGATGCCTACGTTCAAATGTTGATTCAATTGGCGTACTATAAAATGACCGGAAAGGTTAGACCAACTTACGAATCTGCTGCCACCCGTAAATATTTAAAGGGACGTACTGAAACCGGAAGATCGGTTTCCAACGAATCGAAAAAATTTGTTGAAACTTGGACCTCATTTGAATCTAGTAACGAAGACAAGATTGCCACTTTCCAAAATGCATGTAAACAACATGTCAAGTATTTAGTGGAGGCTGCCGATGGTAAAGGTGTTGATCGTCATTTCTTCGGTTTACAACAAATGTTACAACCCGGGGAAGACATTCCTGCCGTTTTCAAGGATCCTGTTCACAAGTATAGTTCTACTTGGTATATTTCATCTTCGCAAGTTCCTTCAGAGTATTTCCAAAGTTGGGGATGGTCTCAAGTTATTGATGAAGGTTTTGGTTTAGCTTATTTGGTTAATAATGACTGGTTACATGTTCATATCAGTTGTAAGAAGGGTAATGGGTTAAGATCAGACTACTTGAAGTACTACTTGACCGAAGCCGCCAACGAGTTAAGAGATGTTTTGAAGACTACCTTGCCATCCAAGGCCAAATTGTAAGAAAAAAAAAAAATATTAGATAATAAGAAATAAGAAATAAGATTTATCAATTAACGTAATAAGTAATGTAATAAGTAATGTATAAGTAATGACAGGTGCGTATGCCAGGTACAGGGGCAGGAGATGTACGGAGGCTCCCCGGAAGTTTAAATTAGCAGCATTTTTTGTTGTAACCGTTGAAAGTCCAACTTGACAAGGGATGCTACTGGATAGCACCCACCACCTCTACTTCGGTGAAGATCATTAGCACAAGCAGACTAAGCGAGTGTTTATGTTTACCCGGCTAGACGAGTAAATTGACGAAAACGCGATCCTCGTCAACATATATGTGTGTCTGTATGTATGTATGTATGGATATAGTATAATGTATATTGTATGGGATAAGGTATTGTATGGTTTAGTATAGTATAGGATATGGTACAGGATATGGTACAGGATATGGTACAGGACATAGTACAGGCTCTAGCATAGTATATAGGATATAGGATATAGGATATAGTATTTGATATAGTACATAGGATATAGTAAATAATACAAGACACAATGCACATACTCTACTTACTCGACTTGCTCTATTGTGCTTACTCTACTCTACATATAACTTATATACATATACATTACTTATATACATATATAAATACATATACATATACATATATAAATACATATAAATAAATTAAGTATACAAAACGCCAAATCAACTTTGTTTGTGTGCAGGTCCCTGATTTATAAAAAGATCTCACACTTCATTTTTTTACTACTTCGTTACAAAAAGTTTAATAAAGAAAAAGTGGGTCAGCGGCTACTTCGTCAATTTGTTGTGGTTCTTGTTCTTCCTGTTCTTCTCTGGCCATCAGAGGGTGTATCAAGGTTACTTTGGTGCTGCTTTTGCTGTTCGCTCTTATTCTGGTGCTATTCTGTTACCTGTTGTGTCACTGTTGTTATTCCAGTTATATATTTTCGGTTTGATTTCATCTTGACAACACTTTTGATCAACTTTATTTCATCATTTGCGTGCTTTTTTTTTTTTTGACTTTAAGATTGTCTTTTCTCCCAAAACCACTCCAATTGATCAACGGGATTACCATTCCTTCTTTGCATCTTTTCATTCGGTTGTAATCCCATTTAAAAACTTCATTTAAAGTCTCCTTTTAATTACGTGACTAATCTTTGCCATTGCCATTGCAATTTGCTCCATACAACCAACGAAAATCTGCATCATCTAATTATTTGAACTTCCCAACCTTTTTTGTCCTTGTTTCTTGATTTTATTTTTGGTTTTCTTTTGGATAATCTTTTGGTTGTCTTTACATCTTTTCATACTACTTTTATTTCGTCTATTCATTCTCTGCTTTCTTTTCTGACCCTGTTCTTCATCTTTTTTCATTCAAAATTGTCCCACCACTTTCATCATTACCCCTTGAACCGCGTTTCCCCTGCCAAATTCCTTTATCAATTCCTTTAATTCAATCATTTCCTTTTGTTTTCTTTTTTTTTTTGGGAATTGTCTTTTGATTTGTCCTTTGATTTTGTCTTTTGATTTGTCCTTTGATTTTGTCCTTTGAATTTGTCCTTTGATTTTGTTTATTTTTTTTGTCCAGATCAAACTAACAACAAGCGGGTCAAAGTTGTATCATATCCTCAACCCATCAATTTTTTGATTCATCTGTGAAAAACTTCAATAAAGTAAATGCTTTCATATTAATCGTTCTCACCCGCCCTTCCCCCTTTCTTTCTAAATTTTCCTACCCTTTCTTATTTCATTTCGTCGGATTATCTTTTTGGTTTGATTTTTGGTCTATCTTATATCTTTTTATTTTTTACCTTTTTGCTTCATTCATCCATTTTTTGTCAGTTTTTGTTTTTTTTTTTCCTAGTTTTTTTTTTGTTTTAATTACTTCATTTTCAATCCTGTTCTTTCATTGATTTTCATCAATTGAGTAGATCAATCATAAGTGGAAAATTAATTCAAAAAATAACTTCTTTTTTCTTTTCTTTTTCTTTTGGAAAAGACAGTAAAAAACTTTATTCTTCATCATTACTTTGATTCAACAACAAAAAATATATTTCGACATGTCAAATAAACCTCCTGCTACAGCTTATCCTCATAAGCGACAGAAATCTTCTTTACTGAATGCTGGTTATTATTTTTCTGATTCAACAACTTCAACCACTCCCCAACAATCAAATAATCAAAATCCTCCTCCTCATACTGTTCCAAATACTCATACCCAACATTCAAACGCTTCTCCAACCATTGATGAATCAATCTATGATAACGAGGACCCATATAACCCTTTAAATTATAGTTTCCCACCCAACCAAAACTCTTCTCAACAACAACTGCAACATGAACAACAAACTCTGCAACCACAATCAAATCAACAAGCCCCTTCATCACAACAACATACAACTATTCATCATTCTCATTCTTTGTCGGCTCCACAACAATTATCAGCTCCTTCTTCAGTTGGTCCATCTCTTTCTCAAAGTGCTCGTGCTTCTCCAGTAAGACAACCTTTATCAACTTCAACAGCTGCTCCAACAACTGCTCTCAATACCACTCATACTTCTGCTGAATTAGCCGTACCTTCTTCTTCAAATAATAATTCTTCTTCTGCCACTGGTCATATGTCAGCTTCTTCCACTCTTGCTTCACTTCCTCATCCTCTTTCTTCCTCAACTACTGCTAGTGGTATTGGTAATTCTTCTTCAAATAATAATCCTGGTATTGGAAGTAGTCTTCTTCATAATAATCATCATCCAACTATTGCTACTGCAGCTAATAGTTTTATTGAACCTTCCCATAATCATCATAACAGTATTCCATCAAATCCAGCTTCTGCATCAACTTCATTTTTTTATCCAAGTCATTATCAAAATTCTGTTTATGGATCGTCATCTTCAGATCCTCCTTATGCATTTACATCATCTTTCAATAATAATAATAACAATAATAATTCTGGTGGGAATTCAATGTTAGAATCAAATCTTTATCAGTCATTCACTTATCCAAGAATTTCATCTCATTCAACTTCAAATACTACTCACCCCAATTATTATGAACCAAATAAATATAAACATTCAAAAAATAATTTATCAATCTCATCTCATTTTAACTTTATTAATCTTAATGATAATCAAGGACCAACGTCTAATTTAGGTACTTCATCTTTAGGTAATACCAATAGTTTTGCATCTCCCTCGGTGATAACCGATCCTAAAAGATATGGATCAGCATTACCACCAACCTTGCCACCAGCACCTCCACCACAATCAACTGCTAATATTATAAATGAATTAATTATGAATTTAGCATCAGTTGATGGATCAAATATCAATAATTATTTATTGACCATTTTATACAAATTAAATTTCCCATTACCAATTGATGATTTTTATAATTTATTATATAATAATGATAAATTAGCATCATTAATGCAAATCACCCTTCCTCAAAAAATTGATAAAACTTTAATTAATTCCACAATTCCAAATGCATCAGTTGATGTAATTAATCAATTATTAAATGTCTTCAAAAAACCAGATTCATTAGGAAATTTTTATCCAAATTTAATTAATAAAGAAAATAAATTAATGAATATTAATTATCATGAATTATTAAGAACTTTTTTGGCTATTAAAATTTTATTTGATATTTTAATTCAAATTCCAATGAATTCTCCAGATGAACCCCAAAATTATACAATTCCAAGATTATCAATTTATAAAACATATTATATTATATGTCAAAAATTAATTTTGCAATATCCAAGTTCTTCAAATACAACTAATGAACAACAAAAATTAATTTTAGGTCAATCAAAATTAGGGAAACTTATTAAATTAGTTTATCCTAATTTAATGATTAAAAGATTAGGAAGTAGAGGGGAATCTAAATATAATTATTTGGGAGTCATTTGGAATGATAACATTGTTAATGAAGAAGTTAAAGATTTATGTAATAATAATGAATTACTTGATTTAAATGATATCTTTAATGGACAACGTAAACAACAACAACAACAACAACAACAACATCCTCATCTTCATCATCATAGCCACCATAGAAGAAAATCATCGAGAATTTCTGTTTCAAGTTCAAGAAGAAAAAGAAGTTTTGATGATACTAATCAACTGGAATCAATTGTCAGTCCTGAATTATCATTTATTCAATCAACTAATAAATTCCCAAGTAATATTGAATTTACCGTTTTATCAACTATAAATGATCATAATAAATCTGGAGATCCAAATTCAAATTGGTTTGATCTTGCCAAATTTAAAATTTATTCCAAGTTAAGTCAATATAATATAACTTTTGTTACTATTGAAGATGTTTTTTTGAATAATGTGAATATGTTGGAAAAGGACAGTTTACTTAAAAATTTATTTAGTAGAATAATTCATCCATTAGTTGAATCAGTTGCAATTAGCAGTGAGAGCAATGATGGAGAAATTTCTGAAGAACATCAAAATGTTGATCTTAATTTATATTTAATTATAATAATTGAACTTTTACCATATTTATTATTAATTAAATCATCAACAGAAATTAATTTTTTGAAGAATTTAAGATATAATTTATTATATCTAATTAGTAATTTAGAAGGTGAATTATCAAGAATTGATGAAAATGAAGTATTCAGTCATAAAAATTCATCAATTTTTTTACTTATTTTGAAAAAATTAATTAATTTAAATGATTTATTGATTACTTTTATAAAATTAATTATAAAAGATAATTCAGTTAATAAATCTGCAATGGCGGTTGATATTGAAAATTTTTTCGTTGATGCAAATATGAGTAAAAAACCTTATGATAATTCAAGAAATTCGTCCGTTTCTGATGATCTTCTGGGAAGATCTTCAGTTTCATCAAGTTCAGCCACATTAACTTCAAATAGAATTGAAGATCATTATCAAGATCCATTCAACATGAATTTTAAAAATATTTTATCAAGTGATTTAATCTATACTTTAATTGGATATAATTTTGATCCAACTTTGAATAATGAACTAAAATCATCAATTTCTCTGTATTTTATCAATCAAGAAATTAATTTAATTGATAATTTTTTCAAAAAGGATTTATTAAACTTTTTAACAAATGATAATGAAACTATAGGTAATGAAATTGAGTCGGATATTGCTGATGAAATTCATAAAGATTCAATGATTCTTTCAGCAAAAGAATTGAAAAAATTAAATTCTTTAATTTATTTAATTGATACCAAATTATTATCAGAAAATTTTAAATCAAAATATCCAATTTTAGTCTATAATAATTATATTAATTTCATCTTGAATGACTTACTAAAGTACATTTTCATCAAACAACAACAACAAATTAGTTCCCAATCTTCTCAAGATAATAAAAATAGTTTTGGTAATTGGTGGGTTTTCAATTCGTTCATACAAGAATATCTTAGTCTTCTAGGTGAAATAGTCGGCTTAAGTGATTTATTGTGATTATTTTTAATCGCAATCCAACTAGATATTTTGAGTTATATCTGACCTCTTTCATACCTTTCATACCTTTCCCATACCCTTTTTCACAGCTTTTTTTTTTATTAAACCCTTTTATTTTTTATCTATCATGTCTTGTTTTTATCCCTTTCCATTTTTTTTGTTTCTCTTCGTTCGTCCTTGATTTTTGTTTTCTTCAAGTTTCTTAACTGTCTGCAATTCGAATTATAATTTTTTTGCATCTCCTCATCTAGCCTTTTATTTTATCTGTCATTGGTCATAGTCTATTTCATCAAAACTTTCTCTCTCTCTCTCTTTTTTTTTTTGATCTGCTTATGCTTTTTTATCTTGTTCTTTTATTCAGTAAATTACATCTATATATTAGTTTCCTTGCTAGATGCTTTATATAATTAATTTTTTTTTTAATTATAATTGACATTATTTTTTTCCTTATTTCATGTTTTAAAAAGCTTGTTTTCTGTAAATTATGCTAATTTTGCTACACCATTGTATGGGTTTAGTAAAGAAGAAATTGCCTTTAGACGGTTTTACCACTGTTCCTTTTAGGTAATGAGAAATCTCTTTATGGCTATTGACTGGGACAATGTCGACATATTTTTGCAGGGTTTTAAAAAATGTTCGCTATATGCAAGTGCTGTGCATTTTGTCGTTTTCTTTGTCTTTTTGACTTATTGAAATGTACGGGTGTACCATCGCGCTCCCCTGACTCATGAAATGTACGGAGGTTTTTATGAAGTTTGGTCGCAACGAATTACTTTAAACGGCAGGTTGCGATAAAGAAGAGTATTGCTAAGTATAAGAAGGTTGAAAGATGTAGAAGATGGAAAGAGTTTGTAACGGCAAGATGACCGGCAAATACGAAGTGATTATTATTGGAGCTGGAATCTCTGGGATCAAGACTGCCATTGATCTCTACCGTGGAGGTGTCAACAATATTTTAATCCTTGAAGCAAGAAATTGTATTGGAGGAAGATTGAAATCGGTGAAATCAGAAAACTTCCCTCATGTAACTTATGATTTGGGAGCTTCATGGTTTCACGATGCTTTAGCGAACCCATTGTTTGACAAGGCCCGGGAGTTGGGGAATATCGATTACTATTTTGATGATGGGGAACTGGTGTACTTTGATAAAGATGATAAAACTGTTCCAAGTTGGAAATTTGAGCACATTACTGATGAAATAATCTGCTATATTAGTCTTAGTTATCTGAAAGACCCAAATAAGCCAGACATTTCTTTGAAACAAATTTGTCAAGAGTATTATGAAAAGAAACATGACTTGATTGACCCAGACCGATGGGGAAAGGCAATTGCAACAATAAGAATTTTTGGAGAACTTTGGCACGGAGAGTCTTGGGACAATCTTTCTGCAAAATTTGTATTTGATGAAGACGGTCATTTGGGAAGAAATGTTTTGGTTAAGTCTGGTTATTCAAAAGTAATTCAAAATGAAATGAATGAGTTACCGGACAAATTTGAAACCACTAATATCAAATTGAACACCTCGGTTAAGTGCATTGATTATTCGAATGACATTATTAATATCCATACTGGAAATGATTCGTTCAGTTGTGATTACGTTGTTCTGACGCTACCACGGAGTCTTTATTCGATTGATGATCCAAATGATCCCTCTTATATAAAATGGGTTCCTGAATTGCCTGGTGATTTCAAAAAATTGAGTCACTATTTCGAAGCAGGGTCTCTTGGGAAAGTAGTTTTTGAATTCAGTGAATGCTTTTGGTCAGAGACTGTTGACCGCTTCTATGCGTTATCAAAACAAGAACCGAAAAATCCAAATGATCCTCAACCTTGGGATTATCCAACTATACTTATCAACTACCAAGCAAATTCCGGAGTGCCTGCTCTTGTTGCCCTAACCCAAAACCCATTATCTTCCACTATTGAAAATTTTGACCCTAAAACGAAAAATGAAAGAATTTGGCAACTTTTCCAACCAGTAATTGCTCAAATTTCAAATGCCAAAGTCCCTCCACAACCAATTAATATCTTACACACCTCTTGGAATAATGATATTTGGGCTCGTGGTGCTTACTGTACTTCTAAAGTTGGGTGTCCTGACTCCGAAACGCTCACCAATCTTTTCGCCAAAGGCTTGAGCAACAAAATCAGGTTCGCTGGCTCCGAAACAGTAGACGGTTCCGCCAACGGGTGTGCCCATGGTGGTTGGTTCAGTGGTCAAAGAGAAGCTAAATACATTTTAGATGATATTGCAAAAAAACTTTAGTTAGTAGATTTATATACAGGTCATCAATTTTTTTAATTTTTTTTTTCGCTTCTTCTTTAAATCTTCATGAACGTGGATTTGATACTCTTCTGTTGTAGATAAGAAGATTATCATAGCTAGGTATACTTGATTGTAACGACAAGAATGCATGCAACGCAAAATTCTATCAAACTAATAACAGGAAATTCCCATCCTGAGTTGTCCAACTTGATCGCAGAAAGACTTGGGATGCCATTGGCAAAAGTTGGGGCATTTCAATATACTAATAGCGAAACAGCAGTTGCTATTGGTGAATCTGTAAGAGATGAAGATGTATACGTGATCCAAACCGGGTGTGGGGAACAAGAGATCAATGATTTTTTAATGGAACTTATGATTATAATAAATGCTTGCAAAATAGCCAGTGCTAGACGAATTACTGCAGTTATTCCAACATTCCCATACGCTAGACAAGATAAGAAGGATAAATCAAGAGCTCCTATAACCGCAAAGTTGGTTGCAAACTTATTACAAACAGCTGGCTGTAATCATGTCATAACTATGGATTTACATGCTTCACAAATTCAAGGGTTTTTCAGAGCACCGGTTGATAACTTATATGCTGAACCTTCCGTTTTAAGATATGTTAAAGATAATTATTCAGACAGTGAATTAACAATTGTTTCGCCTGATGCTGGTGGTGCCAAAAGAGTTGCTTCAATTGCTGATAAACTTGACGTTAACTTTGCATTGATTCATAAAGAAAGACAAAAGGCAAATGAAGTTTCTAAAATGGTCCTTGTAGGGGATGTTTCTAATAAGGTTTGTTTATTAATTGATGATATGGCTGATACTTGTGGAACCTTATGTAAAGCAGCAGATGTATTACTAACTAATGGTGCTCAAAAAGTAGTTGCTATTGTCACTCATGGTATTTTCTCCTCCAATGCTATTGAAAAACTTAATAATTCTAAATTAGATAAGATCATTTGTACAAACACTATGCCTTTACAAGATAAATTAAAACGTTGTCCAAAATTAGAAAAATTGGATATAAGTCCAACTTTGGCTGAAGCAATAAGAAGATTACATAACGGTGAAAGTGTTTCTTACTTATTTAATAATGCCCCTGCCTAAACTTGTCATTAAATATTATATATTTATTTATTTTATAATTAATTCGTAGTTTCTTCAGCTTCGATTAAAAACCATGTAACACCAACACTTAATTGAAATGGATTAGCTTCTTTGTCATTAAGATTTTCATGAGTTACATTAGATTCCTTAATATTGGCTACTTTCCCCACCATCCACTCCCGATGGCTAATATCTTGATCCATTTTCAAGAAATAATGAGGTGCTCCAATATTAAATGCTGCCCAGGGTTGAATCTCATTCTCTTTTACCTGGGTAAATTCACTTCCTCTTTCTATACGGGTAGGTAAAAATAAAACTAAATCTCCTTTCTGGAAATTATTAATCGTTATTTTACTATTCGTCTTATTGAGTAACTTGTTCATCTCCATAATTTTCGACTTATTTTCTTTAGTTAGCTTTTTAGCAAACCCTTCAACATCACGGAAACGTTTACTTATAGCGTTGAGGAAAAATTTATGATTCACAGGATCATCTTCACTGACAGCTTCTTGGGATTTTAAATGAACACTATCTTTAAAAGAAATAATTCTGATAAATTCATCGAATGGATTGCAGGTGGTGGTGAAGAAATCATTGAATGTGGATATAAGCTTCTGAGAAATCTCAATGGATCTATTATAATCATCATCCGATTCAGTTTCATTGACGCCGCTTCTAGTGGTTGAGAGGGACTTAACCGCAGCTGATTCTTCAACATTCAATAAGTCTTCACTAGTGATACTGTCACACCAAGTCTTAGCTGACGTAATCTCATCTAAAATTTTCGAATGAATCTTAGTTTCTTGTTGAATAATAGATGAATCCTCCTCATTTTGATTACCTTTCTTTGACTTCAATCCTTTAACACGAATAATTTTGAATTCATTTTTGTTCGAAGTTTCATCGATTTGTTTAACCAATAATAAACCCATGCTCTCCAAAACGAAGCAAAATTCAAGGAAAAATTCAAAGTTGTTATCAACTAAAACCTTAATTTTCTTGAATAAATCGACAATAACATTATCTAATTCATCAATTATATTTTGATTGTGTTTTTCTTTTGCTTGTGTTAACTCCATCAAATTTTCGTAATCATCTTGCAATTCATCATATTTAGCTTTCAAAGATTTGATTTCATTATCAAAGATATTTCTTTCTTGAACAAATTCGGATTCCTTTGCAGACATGTTGGATAATAAATCAATCTTCATATTATTAGAATCATTAAGTTCGGTCGTAAGGTTATTAACTTTGGACTTCAACTCATCTATTTGCTTATTGTCCTCGCTTAGAGGCTTCAAATTACGTATCGTTTTATCTTTGTCGAGTAGCTGCTTTTTTAAATTAGCAATTTCATCATCTTTATCTCTTGTTAGTTTATCTAGTGATTCCTTGAGGTGAGAAATTTCTGCATCTTTCTGCAAAAGAGTATTATTGATTTCATTTCTATAGTTTTCATCTTGGGTTTTAATTGAAAATATCTCATCTCTTAAATCTTTGATGAGTTCGTCATCTGATTGTTTCTTCTTCATTAATTTGTTATTATGCTCTAAAAGCTCCGAATTTTCTTTACGAAGCCGTATATTATCCAAATGCTTATCAATGGTTGTTGATGCGTCCAAGAACTTCGATTCTTGCAGCCCGTTCAGTCTTGGAGAAGAAGAAGTGTGACGTCTTTGTAATAACAGAGTTGGGTCATTTGAAGATGACTTTTGATTTTTGGGTTTCATATTTGGATCGACAATCAAACTCATCTTAGTATTATCAGCTTTATCCTGAGATTTGATAACTGGCCAGTTACTGATATTTTTATATTGTTGTTGATGCAATAAGTTCTCAAGTTTTTTGATTCGGTTCTTTAGCCCCTTAACGACATCTAGATCAACATCATCATTAATTCGTACTTTAGAAGATTCTAACTGGTTACTGTTTGGAGAAGTATATGAACTCAATGAAGTTACCAACTTAGTAACTTGCTGCATATTATCAGTGGACTTGACCAAATCTTTGAAATTTTTCTCCAATATTTCGATAAACTTCGTGCTGCTAGGAGAATTGTAATCTTTAATCAAATTAATATAATTTAAAATATCTTCTCGTTCTAATTCGAAGCCTAACAAATTTGATTTTCGATTATTGAGTAATGTCACGTCAATTGTGGGTAGAAGTATTTCTGAATTATTTGCAGTAATGAAATTAATGAAGTTATTAAACTTTTTCAACCATAACTTTTGAAATTGTTTTTCATGATCAATTATGATTGATAATTGTTCAGAAATTGTATTCACGATACCTTTGGAATAAAAGTCAGACCATTCAAACTGACGTCTATTTTCTATTATGATGAAACCAAAGAGTAAAGGGAGGTCGATGGTGAGTGAAAGATAGTCTTCTGCAGATTTAATTTTATTAATTGTTTCATAAGACACTTGATTATCGGAGTTGGAAGTAGGTGCAGTTAGTAGTTTTATATCCGATTTGATATTAACAACTCTCATTTGTAAAGTAGCAATAGTTTGAAAAATTGAGAGACATTGATGAACTAGTTTCAATTTAAACTCGTAACTCTTTTGAAGAAAATCATAAAGGTAAGATGCATTTTTAAATAATTTCGGGGATTTAAATTTACCATGATCATTATAAATATCCGTTAAAGAATTTAAGTTGCTTGTCTGTAAGTTTTCTAGGTCTTTTGAAATATCTTTCGACAATTCTATTGTTTCATTAATGATCAGGGCATTGGAAACCTCATAATCTTTGAATATCAGTATTGAGTCATTACGCAAATTTTCAATTTTGGAATCTATGTCAATTTTAACATCATTAATATTATTGATGGAACCTGACATTTCATTAAACTTATTGACAACTAAAGGTAAGGTATTCTTAATGAAATCACTTTTTTCTTGAAGAATTTCATAACCAAGGTATTCATGGAGAGTAATTTGTTCACCAGATTTGAAACTAAATTTGGGAAATGATTTCAAGGTTTTATAATACTCTTGCCATGATTTATGTAGAGTCTTCATGCTTAATAGTTTAATATAAGAGAAGTAATGGTTAAAATTTTTTTCAACTCCACTAACGAAATTAGTTCCAAACTGGAAAATGATATTAAGAGATTTAAAGATGGTATTAATCTGTTTAATAATTGATTTTATGTGTTCATCAATTGAAAAACAATTTTGAAGAATTGCTTTTGACCAACCTTCATTGATTTTCAAATTACTAGTCATTTTCTTTATATTATGATGGGGAGAAACCTGGGAAATCAGAGATTCTTTAGGGATTAAGATTTGTAAATCTGATTCATTTTGACCAAGATACGATTTAAGGATGGATTTTTCGAAATCCAATGAAAATAATCGCTTATCAAACACATAAACATCACTTAATTCATCGATCATATTGAAATTTAACTTTATACCAAAGGAGGTCAATAAGAATAGGTTTTCAACATCTCCAGCAATGTACTGAGTGAAAGATTCCAAAAGGTATTCTTTAAAATGAGGTAGGGTATGAAACCGAATTGGTTTTGGGATTCTTATGCTATCACCATTATGAGAATTATGAACAGTCAAATATGAAAGCAGTGCCGGCAGGATAGCATTAGCCGACAGCATAACTCAATGGTAGGAATAGATAATAAGCAATCTGGGGAAGTAATCTGAGACAGGAAAAGGACCCAATGAAATACAAAAAATACAAGCAAAACAAACAAACTTTTAACAACGATCAATGAACCAATGAACCAAGGACAAGACCATTTAACAGTGCCTCATAAAACCCAGATGATGTATTAAAGAAGTAGTTAAATAGAAGTTAGTTTCAGTTTTGCCATTGATAAAAATTATATTTATTTCGCACACTAACGTTCCCCCTGAAAAAACTGCACACAACTACATTACCGGTGAAACCCCAGAGTATATATTATAGGAAAGAAGTGAATATCAGAGATGTTATACACCAAAGAAGTGAATATCAGAGATGTTGGACATCAAAGAAGTGAATATCAGAGATGTTGGACACCAAAGAAGTATAAGTATTAAAAAAGGGAAGTAATACAAAAAAAATGTAACGAATAGAAAAGAAATGAAAAGACTTAATCTTCTTCATCGAATTTTGGAGCCAAGTAGAATCTTAAGTAACCACCGGCATCTAATTTATATTCAAATAAGGCAGGAGTTTTATCAGCCAATTTGATGGTTATGGTTGAAGACAAAGCGGTAGCTTTAATGATATCGGATAAATATTTTAAACCAAAGGTTAAATCAACTGGTTGTTCTAAATTAACTTTAATTGATTCTTCCGGGTGATCAACATCAGTATAAGGTTTCAAAACCACGGAACCGGTACCAGATTCACCTTCAGAGGTGAATTTAACTGATTCTTTGGTAACCAAGATATTTAAGGATTCACTCAAATTTTTCAAATCACGAACAATTTTAGCAAATTCACTTGAAGGCATATTTATAACCCCATCATAATCCATATCATCAATTTTCAAGAATTCAGAATCGATATCCATTAATTTTAAAGAATATTCACTGACTCTTTCCTTTTTTTTATCTTCAAAAATAGTCATAACACTATCAGGAGAATCTTCAGCTAATAAAGTTAAATAATCTTCATTATTACCACATTTTATAATTTTGGAGAAACTATCCAAGTCAATACCCAAAGTGATATCTCTATCACATCTATAATCGGTGAAAGCAGATTGACCAACTAAAAGAGAAACCAATAAAACTCTTGAATCATCAACTGCTTGAACGGTGATACCGTGTTCAGTACAATTGAAATTACATAATTTGACACAGTCTTTGACTGAGTCCACGATTTTTTTTAAAAGACTAGCTTCGTCGAATTTACCTTCAAGCATTTTGGATATGGAAAAGAGATGAAGAAGAAGAAAAGAAGAAGAGGACGAAACTTAAATAAATTTTGGACGGGAATTTTTCAAACGCGTAAGACGTGTCGATTATGTAAGTGTGAGCGCAAGGTGCACGGGTGCACATCTTTGAGTAATACAGAACATTCAGAACAGTAATACAGTACATTCAGAACAGTAATACAGTACAGTAATACAGTACAGCAATACAGAACATTATATGTTTATTATAATACAACTAAGAATTGAACATTAACTACTTTTTTTATCATGCATTTCTTTACCCCATTTAAATAAATCTTGTCTATAACGATCAACTTTAACAAGACCATTTCTAATTTGAGATAAAGTTTTGATGTATTCGTGTTGACGTTGGATACCAACTTGTAGGTAATTAATTAAATCTTCTTTGATATTGGATAAATCATCATTTTCGTCATCAATTGATTGATTTTGGTGAGATTCATAAGTTTTCAAAGTTTTAGGTAAAGCAAAGAAGGGATCTTGACTATTTGAATCGGTGGAAGAATCGTCATTTCTAGTAATTCTTTTATTTGGATCAATTTCGTCAATTTTTTCATCGGTTAAGCCATGATCGTACTGATTTAAACCTAATTGATCTTCTAAAAGATAAAACCAATCTTCACCATTTAAAACTTGTAATAATTTATTAAGCCAATTTAAATTATTTTGTTCGATTTCAATTAAATCAATTAATTCTTTTGATAATTTATTATAAGTGTTTGATTTAAATATTTTCAGGATTGCTGGATGGCTGATAATCTCCAGAGGATGAGATAACGGAGTAAGAATTTCAGCTAATTTTAAATCTTTTAATGGGTTTTCATCAATTTCTGATTCTGACTCACTAATTTCTTCTTCGCTTTCTTCTTGATCGATTTTTTTCCTTTTATTACTATTATAGTAGTCCGACCATTTTCTTTTATTTTCTCTAGTTGATTTTTCAATTACTTCATTGGTTAAGACCAAATGAGTTTCTCCATCGTATTCCACCACTTTTGGATGGAGTCCATCCAGTATACTCTCTTTATCGGCAAGCGCCTGTTTAAACTTGGATATCACCTCAATAGAGTATGAATCTAGAGTCATGGTTGAAGGACAAGATAACGCTACAGTATAAAAAATTTGTCTATTATTTTATTACCCTATTTTCTTCACTTACACACACCCGTACATTTTTTTTTTTTGTTTTTTTACCTCACACACTTAACGGACTCAAGAAGGCTAGTCTACAGCCCGATTTATCCAGAATTGGTAAGATTAGCCTAAAGGCATCATGGGTATTAAGATAATAACGGTATAATCGTTTGGTTCTCATGAACCCTAAGGATTCATATAGTTTCAAAGCACCAAGATTAATCACTTCAGTTTCCAACATGATTTCGTCGATATTATCATATTCAATCATTTTTTCAATTGACAAATTAACTAGATTAGAAGCAATTTTCCGATTTCTATAAGTTGGATCGATGACTAGCATTCCAATGTATCCTCTTATTCTAACGTTGTTATGGGGTTCGCATTTCGATATTATAACCCCAATGATTTTATCTTGGTCAACCAATTCATCCTTCACTATAAAACAGTACTGGGGCCACTTATTTAAAAAATACCAGTAGACGTATATAGAGTATGGTTCCAGTAAGTGCTGTGCGATGATCTCGGATATCTGGGTGAATTGATCCTTTGACGAGGGATCGAACTTGAGATAGCTCAACCCGTCTATTTGGGTAACCAACATTATCGTAGAATAAAGGGTAGAATGAACTTGGTGATGGTTCATTTTGTAAAAATGTACAAACCCGTACAGCACCCGGTCAACACCCGTACATCAAACCAACAGCATCCGTACACCTCCGGGACAGGCCCAGTCCGACGGGACTAAGGCCCCGGCACCGGCCGGGGCGTCACGTGCAGCGGCCATCACCTCTTATCTGGCCCACTGACCGACATCACCCCTACGCTGGCCCTCACGTGCGGACACCTCCTACCCATTCAACCAGTCGAACACCAATGGACACCAGCTGGACACCTGATGTAATTGTGTGATTATCAACTGATGAATTCCAACCGGAAGATTGTGATCCTTCACTAATTGTGTTCGCTCGGACTTTTCTGTGCAGTCCGTCTTCACTCAATGATATCATACCCGACCCATGAGCAAAGCAACGTCCACTGGCAATGGATCACCAGTGGCAGATGATGGACGGTGGGCAGAGCAGAGATCATGAGTCGAGATACTCCCGGTGAGTTCTTGGGGTGCAAAGCAAGTAAATTGGTAAGTCAGGTGACTGAATCAGTCCATTCTCAAACACAAACAAGTTAACAGCACTTTTTTTTTCCAAAGCAAATAACAAAATGCCTAACAAAAGTAAAAAAAAAAACCTCCGCTTTGCTCAAAAGGTTGAACGGGATTTTTCACTTTTTGAAATTATATTTAAGCATTGACATTTTCCCCTTTATTGACTCAATTGGTTCTTTAGTATCACTACTTTTATTTACTACTGCTCTATTACATAATCATGTCTTTAAATTTATCTAGAAAATCCGGTGTTATCTACGGGGATGACGTTCGTCAATTGTTCTTATACGCTCAAGCCAAAGGTTTTGCTATTCCAGCCATTAACGTTACTTCTTCTTCTACTGTTGTTGCTGCTTTAGAAGCTGCTAGAGATAACAAGTCTCCAATCATCTTACAAACCTCTAACGGGGGTGCTGCTTACTTTGCTGGTAAAGGTGTTTCTAATGACGGTCAATCTGCTTCTATCCAAGGTTCAATTGCTGCTGCTCATTACATTAGAGCCATTGCTCCAGCCTACGGTATTCCAGTTGTTTTACATACTGATCACTGTGCTAAAAAATTGTTACCATGGTTTGATGGTATGATTAAAGCCGATGAAGAATTCTTTGCTAAAACCGGTGAACCTCTTTTCTCTTCTCATATGTTGGATTTATCTGAAGAAACCGATGATGAAAACATTGCTACTTGTGTTAAATATTTTGAAAAAATGCATAAAATGGGTCAATTCTTGGAAATGGAAATTGGTATCACTGGTGGTGAAGAAGATGGGGTCAATAACGAACACGTTCAAAAAGAATCCTTATACACCTTACCTGAAACTGTTTACAAAGTTTTTGAAGCTTTAAGTCCAATTGGTCCAAACTTCTCCATTGCCGCTGCCTTTGGTAACGTTCACGGGGTTTACAAACCAGGTAATGTTCAATTAAAACCAGAAATTTTGGCTGAACACCAAAAATACGCCAAAGAACAATCTGGTTCTTCTAATGACAAACCATTATTCCTTGTTTTCCACGGTGGTTCTGGTTCTTCTCAAAAAGAATTTGATACCGCCATTAAATCTGGTGTTGTTAAAGTTAACTTGGATACCGATTGTCAATATGCTTACTTGGAAGGTATCCGTGACTACGTTTTAAACAAGAAAGATTACATCTTAAGTCAAGTTGGTAACCCAGAAGGTGCTGATAAACCAAACAAAAAATTCTTTGATCCAAGAGTTTGGGTTAGAGAAGGTGAAAAAACCATGTCTAAAAGAATTACTGAAGCTTTAGAAATCTTCCACACTAAAGGTCAATTATAAGTTAATAATTAAATATGTTTAAATAAATATTTATTTCCGTAATTTTTTATTCGTAAGTTCATCTTATTGTATATTCTTCTATTTACAGATTAAGTTTTTCTTTTATATACTTGTATTCAGACATACTGGAAAATGGATTAAATCCCTTTTGTTGTAAATCAGTTCCCACAAGATAATTAACTCGAACGTATTTCGATACACATCTATCAATACAGGATGCTTCTCCGGTATTTAATTCTCCTTCTCCATACTTATGTCCTAAACATTTTCTTTCACAGGTGTGTAATAATTTAGTAAAAGTTTCGGCCATGGCATTATATTGTACTTCGGCCATCTTCATTCGTTCTGGATTAACATCCATCACAGAGTACTGCGAGCTATTCCCCATAAACAATGACATGGTGTATATATATTGTAGTGGATGTGGGTGTGGATGTACTAGTACTTGTAGTCGTGGTTGTTGTTGTTGTTGTAGTCGTAGTTGTTGTTGTACTTGTAGTTGTAGTAGATGTGTTGAAGTAAAAAAACTCTTCGATTTTTTCTGAAAAATTATTCTCTATAACACCACCCAAAATGCATATCCTTCTAACCAATGATGATGGCCCTTTAAATGATAAGGCTAGTCCCTATATCAAGTACTTAGTTGACGAGATCAACTCTTCTACCGACTGGAAGTTATCTATTGTAGTTCCAAATCAACAAAGATCTTGGATTGGTAAAGCTCATTTCGCTGGTAAATCTTTAACTCCTTCCTATATCTATACCAATGATTCTACCGCTACTCCAAATCAACAAGTAAATGCTTTTGATGGTCCTTTCACCAACCCCCAACCCCAACTTAAATCTAGTCAAGAATGGTGTCTTGTTGACTCTACTCCAGCTGCTTGCGCTGATTTGGGAATTTACCATTTGAATTCTTTTGACCAACCAATTGATTTAGTAATTAGTGGTCCTAATTTAGGTAAAAATGCAAGTAGATTATATATTTTGTCAAGTGGTACCGTGGGGGCAAGTTTAGAAGCGGCCACTCATGGATATAAATCGATTTCCTTATCTTACGAATATTATAATTTAAATCATGATTATAATTTATTAAAAGAAGCAGCTAAAATATCGGTTAAGTTAATTAACAAATTATATAATAATTGGGATTCAAATACTGACATCTATTCAATTAACGTTCCATTGGTTCAAGATCTTCAATTAGGTAAAACTAAAATAGAATTTGCTCCGATTTATAATAATTGTTGGAATTCAATTTATCAACCTCATATTGATGAAGTTACCGGGCAAACTCATTATAATTGGAATCCAGATTTCAAAAAAGTTTATAAAGACGGTCTTTTGGATCTTGAGCATTCCGATAATCGAGTTTTAATAAATAAAGGCGTTAGTGTCACTCCTTTAAAAGCTTCATTCCAATCTGCTTTACCTTCAAATGGTGAAATTATCCTCGATGACAAGGAAGAACTCGATAATATTTTTCTCATCACTATAAATGAAAATGAATACATTTACAAACCTTTGGTGGAGGCTTTCAAGAACTATTCTAATTTTAAAATTGTCACTGATAAATCCATCTTAACAAAATTAAATTCTGATAATAATATAAAAATATTCCATTACGGTGATTATGAAGATATTGATATTGATTTTCTTCAATCAAAACCAAATCAATATTTTATACCTTCATATATTTATCGTAAAGCATTAATTAGAAAACATTTTTTAGCAAATACAATCCATCATTTCACGGTTAAAAATCCAGAATCTGCTTTGAAAAATGCAGTTCCAAATTCTTACCAATTAGAAGTTGATTATGCTGAATTTTTAGATGATGCTTTAGACGACGCTTACGAATTACGGGATGAAATTGAAAATACCAATAAAACCTGGATTTTAAAACCAAGTATGTCTGATAAAGGTCAAGGAATAAGATTATTTAATACTATTGACCAACTACAATCAATTTTTGACTCTTTTGAAGGAGATGAGGAAGATGAAGAAGAAGAAAATGATGATAAAAATGGAGTTATAATAAGTCAATTACGTCATTTTATTGTCCAAGAATATCAGACCAACCCTCTTTTATTATCAGGTTATGATTTCAAAAAATTCCATTTAAGAACTTACGTTGTTTGTGTTGGAAATTTAAAAGTTTACGTTTATAAAAACATTTTAACTTTATTTTCAGATTCATCATTCGAGAAACCTTTAGCCAATGAAAATGAAATCAAATTAGATGGCCATTTAACCAACACTTGTTTACAAGAATCAGTGCATCCATTAGTTGTACCATTTTGGAAATTAGCTGGGTTTGATAAACAAGATACCGTCTACGATAAGATCCGAACCATCACTGGAGAGTTATTCCGTGCCGCCACTAGCGTTGACAAGATCAATTTCCAACCATTAGCAAATGCCGTTGAAATATATGGAGTTGATTTCTTGGTCAATGATGATTTGGAAGTGAAATTATTAGAGGTGAATGCATATCCTGATTTCAAGCAAACCGGGGATGATTTGAAAGATCTTATTTTTGAATTGTTTGATCGGGTTGTAAACGAAGCCGTTCTTCCTTTGGTGACTAATGAGGAGAAGCACACAACTGAAAGTAATTTAGACTTGGTATACCTGTATGAGTAATAAGATGAACGGGAAATAGATAGTAGAGAATATCAAAACATAAGTAGTATAGAATATTAGAACATAAGAAGTACAGAGTATTAGAACATAAGTAGAGTAACTGATTATAAGTAGAATATAAGTAAAATACAAGCAATTTCGGTAATGGAAGTAAAAGATTTGTAGTATAAGTAGAGTAGTATAAGTAGAGTAGTATAAGTAGAGTAGTATAAGTAGAGTATTATAAGTAGAGTAGTATAAGTAGAGTAGTATAAGTAGAGTAGTATAAGTAGAGTATTACTGCAAATACAAAACACCCAGACACCAAATTTCACAACGGCGGGAAAAAATCGCCACAATAGAAAAAGTAGTGTCCAGGGCCCAACCCTTTCGATTGAATTCCAGTTGTTAATCACTGGACAACCATTAAACCGTGGGGAAATACTAGCAATAAGCAGCACTTAATCGAGCTGAACAGCTGTTGAGAAAATAGCTGTCAAAAATAAGTGCAAATAACGGCAGGGACAACTGCAAAAAGGCAACTGGTTGAACGAACAAAAGAGAAAAAAAAAGGAACGCTGAACTTTTGTCGAAAAAAGTGAGAGCGAAAGAACGAAAAATTTTCTATATAGTTTGAATTTTCATTTTTCATTACAACTTTTTTGATTAATCAATCAATCTATCATTCATAACGTCTTTTATTTATATATATATAAATATCTTTTAATCCTTCGAGATGTCCACACAACGAAAACAATATAAAAATCACCTGAAAAGGTTCAATAGCAGTAATAGTAATAGCACATCAACTTCATCCAATGAATTAAATAATTTATCAGAAATGTTCCCAGATTGGGAAAAGGACGATTTATCCGGTTTATTAACTGAAAATAATCATGATTTAGAGATTGTTATTGATTTAATTGTTAATAATAAAGTTTCCAAATGGGAACCAATTAAAAAGGAACCAAAAAATAAAAGAAAAGATAAAGAGTTTAGTGATGATTTAATAAACTCAAATATTTCATCTTCTTCAAATAATAATAATTCTAATGCCATAAATACTTCCAATACTTCCATACATAATAATGGGTCTACTTTTAATCCAATAAAAGATGAACATGGTCATTCTAAATCTAAATTTAATAAAGATGCAAATCATAAAAATTCTAGATTTAATAATAATAGACCTAAAAAAGTATCAAATAATGGCAGTACTGCTGGTAGTACTTCCACTACCAGTACACCTTCTAAAAAACAACCAGATTCATCTTCAACGAGTGCATCTACTAATTCAAATCAACCTCCAATAGCAAATTCTTGGGCCGCTGCATTATCAAAAGATAAACCAAAACCAAAACCACAACCTCAACCTTCTAATGAATCTAGTAATGTTGAAGAATCCGAACCAGTTGTTATTGAAGAAACTACCACTACTACCACTGTTTCTACTGAAGAAAATCCAATTCAATCATCTACTACTGAAACTACTAAACCAGTATTAAAAGAAGCAGCCATTCCTCAACCTAAACAAGGATCCTGGGCTTCAGCAATCACTCCAAAACCAAAAGTCAATCCAAAACCAGTTAATCAATCTCCTGCTAAAGAATCTGAAATTGTTAAATCTCCAGAATATTCAACTATTCAACAATCTCCAATTGTTGAACAAGTCACTGAAACCGTAATTGAAGAACCAGTCCAAGAACAAGCTGAACAACAACCAATTGTGGAAGAAGTTACTTCAACCACTGTTGTTGAAGAATCAAAACCACAAGTTGTTTTACCAGCTTCTTCTCAACAAGTTAATTCAGTTGGTGTTTCATTTGGTTCCTTATCTTTAGGTGAAGAAGAAAAAGAAGCCGAACCAGTCAAGGAAGCCGAATCTCAACCAGAAGCTACTTCTCAAGCCCCACAACAATCTCAAAACCAAAACCAAAACCAACGTTATAACTTGTATAACAATAATAATAACAACAACAACAACCGTTATAACAATAACAACAACCAAGCTTATCAATACAATAAACAATCTCAACAACCTCAACAACAATATGATTACTATAATCAATACCAACAAAGTCAACAACAATATCCTCAACAAGCTAGTCAAACTTTACCAGGGCAATTTGCAGGATATCCAGGTCTTGATTTCTCTGCTGCTTATAACCAACAAGCTGCAGCAGCAGCAGCAGCTGCCGCCGCCGCTTCCCCAGCCGCTGCTCACACTAATACTTACGGTCAATACGGTCAACCAGCTAGTCAAGGTAGTGCCAGTGGAGTTCCTCAAGATATTACTGCTGCCGCTGCTGTTTCTCCAATTGTTAATCCAAATACTTTAGTTGCACAACAACAAGCCGCTGCCGCCTTCCAAACCCAACCACAACCACAACAACCAGGAGCTGCCAGTGCAGTTCCAAGCGCTCCATTTGGCTATCCATACTATAACTATTATTATAACACTCCATTTTATGGAAATGGAGCTGGTTTAGGAGCCACTCAAACTGGATACGGTATGCAACACCCACAACAAGTAGCACAACAACAAGCAGCTGCCCAACAACAACAACAACAACAAGCCGGTCAACAACAAGGACAAGCCGGTCAACAACAAGGACAAGCCGGCCAACTGAGTGGATCATCAGCTAGTGGATCCAATCAATCAGGTCAAGGACAACAACCAGTTCAACAAGGACAAGCCCAACAACAACAACAAGGACAACAAACACCTCAACAACAACAAGCACAAGCCAATGGATACAACATGGCTGCTCTGCAATACTACGGGCAACCAGCACAATTTGGTAGCCGTGGAGCATACCCCTACAGCGGATACCCACAGCTGCAACCAGTCATTCCACAACAAGCTGGAAGCCAACCTTTAGGCGCAGAAGAACAACCAGCCAGTGCCGGATCCACCAACACCACTGCCCAAGCTAGTCAAGGTACTCCCCAATTCCAACAACCAAGTGTACCAGGATATCCTCAACAACCATTCACCCAATACGGAGGATACCAACAGTATCCTCAATACGGAGGATACCAAGATGCCTCCCAATACCGCGGATGGTATTAGACCAATGTATATACTGCTATGTGTTTTCTAGTGTATTAAAATGTTACTGATATATATGTATATATAGATGTATTTGCAACCAACCCGCGCACGTGACCAAAAAATAACAACAAGAAACAAAACACCCGCACACCAAACTATTCACATGGGGTACGCTTAACAAGGGTGTTCTGCTAGTACAGCCCCTCACAGTATCAGAAAGGGTGCCCAGCTTTACGCAGCGCGTATGTACATCTGAGCACTAAATGAAGGGCACGCACTAATTACCGTTTTGGGACCCACTCACAATAAAAAGAAGTCTGGTAAATACTAGTACACCTTTGTTAAGGGGACTAAGTAAAATTCCCTCACTTTTCTCATCATAGTAAATCCCACTATATATATATTACTATTACTACTACTACTAAGAATTGTTAGTAGTCTCTTTTTTCTCTATCACAACACAAATTAATTAGTATGTATACCACACTATTAACTAAACCCTCACTAGTTTTGCAATCCACCACCACCCCAAACACCTAGACACACCATTGCGTATGTGTATGTATATATAGATATAGATATCTATCTATCTATCCATCCATCGATATACGTTCAAGCTGCTGTTTCTAGGGAATCCAGGAACTCATTTATATGGGCTTGAGTGACTGCGAAATCGCAGTGACTGCCAAATTTCCACCATTCCCCAAGTATCCAATTGATAGAACCCCCGACGGACCCAATTGATGTATCTCCCAATGAAAGGAGTACCGATTAATTGACCTAGACAAAAAATGGTGAATTTGGTGGGAATTGGCTAATACCCTATTTTTCCCTTACTAATTTTGCTCGTTAACAAAATTGGCACTGGAACTGCAACTGGAATTGGAAGGTGCGTGTGGGTGCACGGGTGTCTTTTTTATTGTTTTTTTTTTTTTTTTCTAGTGAGGAAGTTCTGTTTACAAAGGTGGAAACTCAACGGTTAAACGCGTCCATGTTGTTGTTTTTGGCGTTTTACTTTATGGACCGGGATATTTATATCAAGAGTTGTACCCATTGAACAGTCTTTTAGTTTTCTTTTTTTTTTTTTTTTTAAAAACAAGTTACTAACAACAAACTAGAAAATGTCTTCCGAAAGAAAGAGATCAACCAGAAAGAAGAAGGACCCAAACGCTCCAAAAAGATCATTATCTGCTTACATGTTTTTCGCTAACGAAAACAGAGATATCGTTAGAGCTGAAAATCCAGGTATTTCTTTTGGTCAAGTTGGTAAATTATTAGGTGAAAAATGGAAGGCCTTGGGTGCTGATGAAAAAGTCCCTTATGAAAATAAAGCTGACGCTGATAAAAAAAGATACGAAAAAGAAAAGGCTGAATACGCTAAAAGACAATAGATTGTCTTGGTGTAATTTTTTTTTTTACCCTCTTATCAACTTCTAATTCTTTGATTGTACCATATTTTTGTTATCTTCTTAAAATTGTTATATTATAATAACTGTGTATTGTTTTGTTTAAATTTAGTATTGTATAATTGAATACATGTTATTACTTATTACTGGATTGTTTTGCAACCTCGGGAGGACCTCCGTACATACGGGGGTAGTGCAAGCACCCAATGGCAAATAGTTCCTGGGTGGGTTGCGCTCCGTACACCAACAACTATTTAATACCTTTTAAAAGCTTCACCACTAGCATGCCACCCCCGTCCAATTCTGCAATTGACAATGACTCTTCCATTACCTTCGTACAACGACGACCCCAAATCGTTTGCCTACCCCACAGTGCACAAAAGATGGCCCACCATCATCGAAGGGGCCATTGACGACTTGAACTTGACAATTAAACAAGATCCAAATCTTGCAAAATCAGGTAGCGTCATTATTGAAAAATTATCAAAATTATTGAAAGATTTCAAAAACGACTTGGAAATTGAACCATTTACTCAAGACGATATCAAATTGAATCCTTCGTTGACCCATTACAACGATCACTTTAGCCAATTGAATCCAATTAAGAAAATTACCTGGTTAACTGGACCTTGGCTATACTTAGAATGCTATCTTTATCAATTAATCCATTTATTTTTCTTACAGAGTGACGAACCTTTTTGGTCCACTTTTGATATTTTCAATAGATTGAAAACTAAAACTTTCCAACAATCTGAATCAGGAGTATTGGAATTATGTAAACGTTATCAAGTCTTACATGATCAATTGACCAATGAATCCAATAAGATTGATGAGTCTTTATTGAAAATTCTCTTCACGGAATTCATCGATATCTCGCTTTGGGGAAACGCTACCGATTTATCGTTACTTGCCGGTAACGTTACTTTAGAAGATATTAAATCAGTACAAGGTGCTGAAGTCCGTAAGAAGAATGAAGAAAAAATTATCGTTAATGATTTACCCCAAGCTTGGTCTGAATTTATCAGCTCAAAGGGAAATCGTAATGTCGATATCGTTTTAGATAATTCGGGTTTCGAATTATTTGCTGATTTAATCTTGACCTTATTTCTTTTGGATTCAAAATTATCGAATCAAATCACTATTCATTGCAAAGAAATTCCTTGGTTTGTTAGTGATACCATGCCCAAAGATTTTGATGCATTATTAAACCAATTGATCGATCCTTCTTTTTATCCAAACATTCATAATTCAAATGAAGATTCAAAATTAATCATTAATCTTCATAATCAATTAAAACATTACTTTGATACCGGTAAATTAAAAGTTTCTCATCATTCTTTTTGGACCTTGTCTTATAATTATTGGGAAATCCCTCAATTCTCCGATTTGTACAACCAATTGAGTTCAAGCTCTTTAATCATTTTCAAAGGTGACTTAAATTATCGTAAATTAACTGGTGATTTACAATGGGATAAAACAACTCCTTTCTTAACCGCAATTCAACAATTGGCTTCTTCTAAACTTCCAATCTTGACTCTTAGAACTTGCAAAGCTGATGTCACCGTTGGATTACCAAAAGGTTTAAATGAAAAATTAATCGAAACTTATAAAAATGACGGTAATGAAGTTGGTGAATTCTGGACTTCTTCCGGTAAATGGGCAGTCATTAGTTTCTCCAATGGTAATAATTAAACTTACATACACAAGTTTTCTTTTTTGTTTATTTTACATTGAATTTTTTATATATAAATATACATTACAATTCTCCTGCCTTTCTAGAATTACAAGCAACAATCTTAAATTTATCGACGTTTATCTCATTATCTTCTCCCGTCTGTGTGGCATCCGACATCTTAATAAGCACCTTCTTGATTATAAATGTCCATACATCATCACAAAACCTATATGTACTTAAATCTCCTTTGAATGTTAACTTGGACTTGGCCACATTGGCTTCTGGCTTCAAGGTCTCCGATATAATTCTATCAAAATTATTCAATATTCTCATGGCTAATTGTGGTTGGATCTTTTCATCCAATATAAGCGTATCTAAGGCATCGGCTAGCGTAAGCCCTAACGTGGATCTTCTATAAAGTTCGTAATATGCTGGTGTACTCATGGCTTCTGGTTTGCTTGGTCTAGTGGCTATAATAACTAAATGAAGTCTAATCGAGGGTTTTAACTTGGTTTTCGAACATATCAAATATCAACACCTCCGTACATCTATTTTTTTTAAAAAAGAAAAAAATTACCATACAATAAATTTTTCACTACTTGATACCTCTGCATCATTCACAACATCATGAGCGAGTCTACCAACCAGACTATTGGCCAAAAGTTCCGTAATGCCGTAAAGGAGTTCCAATCGGTATTCAATGGCTCAGAAACTGTCATTTTAAGGAAAGACTCCAACGCTTATCAATCCAAATTGTCAAAATTGATCAGTGATTTCGTCTCTATACAAATAGTGGTCGATAGATTAAGCTTATTCAGTGATAATGAAACAATTGATGAAATTAATACGAACTATATACCCTTTGCTAATACTAACTATTACCTCGGTGTGCTTTATATGAATTTTTTACTCGACGAAAAGCATTCAAATATCGATCTTCAAGATGATAAATTACTTCATAAAATGAAAAATATTTCAATTGCTAAAAACAAATTTCTTCATTTTCTAAACCAATTACAAGGTTTTGGTCAAAATGTGTTAAATGCAAATCAAAATTCTCGTTTAAACTCTTTCAAAGAAACTTTTAATCCAACTTTTGATGAAATTGTCAGTTTTAATAATAATCCAACTTTAAAAAGAGCTGAAAAAATTTCAAATTATAAACTAGAAAAAGAGTTAAATGGTAAGCTTGAAATTCTTTTTGAATATTATGACAAATATAATGATAATAACGATGATGATGATATCTTGAAAAATTTTGATGAAGAAATTGTAAAAAATATCTTCATTGATCAATTACGTCTTAACTCGATTCATTCTTTTAGCAACTTGGAACTTATAGTAATGGAGATTCAAGTCTTATCAAATAGACCCGAACAAAAGATACAGCCAATCAAACCTCAGGATCCTCGTAAAAATGATAATTCCAAAGAAAATGATTATGGCTATACTCCAAAATTAGAAAGTTTGCCTTTCAAAGATAAAAAACATCGTGATCTTATATCGAAACAGGGAAGAGTTTTGCAACCTTTTACGATTACCTCTAACAAGCAAGAACTAAGGAATAAAGTTTTTGGTACTGGCCAAGTTTTACCGTCTATGTCAGTTGAAGAATACCTCGATTATGAATTAGCTAATGGTAAAATGATGAAAGAAGAAGTAAAAGATGCACCAAAGGGTAGTGAAGATGAAGATAGCGACAATATTGATAGCGACGAAGAATTAGAAAAAAGACTTTGGGATGATTGGAAAGACGAAAACCCAAAAGGTAGTGGTAACATGGGTGCTAATTTAGGTTAGAATTTATAGAACGTATACTTTCACATTTAATGAATAACGATTCAACAAACTTGTCCGCTTAGTTGTAACATACTAACTACAATAAATAATCTTGATGGTCCAAAAAAAAAAAAAAAGAAAATGACGATAAACTTTTATTGTAGACTATAGTACAAGCCAACAGATTCATTAAGAATTCATGTCATGGTCAAGCAATTTTAACCATTCATAATACTCAATATTAATTTGGTCAAGAGTAGTGATTGTTGTTTGATTATTCTTACTTTGACTAAGTAACCACTTGTCTTCATCTATGGAAAAACTCTTCAAACAGTTCACAATTATTATATAGACTTCTAATATCTTCAAGTTATATTGTTTGATATCCTCACTTGTGCTCAACGTAAGCAAGTTGGATTGCTCAAATCTGAATCTAGTAATAAACATGTATAAGGCTTCAATGGCGCTTCTCTTGTCAGCCATGTTTTTAGCACCCAAATCATTCGAAGCACCAAATAATCTCCAAGAATAAAGATATTCATAACATTTCAAGGACTTTGACAAAGTGAGTTCACTATTAGCAACTTCTAAAATCACAGAATCGATTAGCAAGAAGTTATCTCTGTATAAGTCATTCTTATTAGGAGGGAAAATAACCGATATATTCTTGTTTGTAATTAAATTATTGATCAATTTAGCAAATAATGAGCGATAAATTTTGGTAGTCAATGTTGGCTTTAAGTTCAACAAAGAGTCATATATCAAATCATAAGACGATATTTCCAAGGACATCTCAAAAATGTTCATATAAAACTCTTCAAGTTTAGCTTTGATCAAATTTTCATCATTACCATCAGATTCAGTCTTCAAAGTGATAATGGCTATCCTTTCGAAATTCAAAGCATTTTCAATAAACTGATTCTCGGTTTGTGAATCGTTAAACGATATAGCAGCAATCCCAGAATTATTGAGTTTTTGTAAATTGGATATACGTTTGGACTGGTATGAGATTTGGTTCTTTGATAATTCCGATAATGCATGGAAATAGTTATATTTTAAGATAAGCGGATTTGTTTCTTGAATGAAAATAGAATTCAAAAACGATTGAATATTTTTATTCTCAGTTAATGATTTCAACAACTTTTCCTTAATTGCAGGCTTATTGACCTTCTCAAAGACAGAATAATCCTGAAAGATCTCGAAAAAATTAATTGGCTTGTTATTAATCAAGTGAATTAAGCCAAACAAAAATTTATCGATTGGCTTTGAAGCATTTAATTTGCTGAAAATTTTTTCCTCAATTATAGAACCTTCATTATGGTTTATTAATTCGGTAATGATATCAACAATAAAATTGTTGTAATTATTTGATGTTATACTCATATATAACCCATCATAAGCATTATTTAAGCTTTTGTCTTGAATGAAGTTATGGATGATATTATTTTTGTTGGCCACTCCATTCCAAAACAAAGAATATTCCAAATTGTTTAAATTCTTTGATTCTATTCTACTCGAAGATTCACTACTTGAAAATGAGGTGTTGAAAACTAAATCAACCAAGGAATAGGTGTTGAGCTTTTCAATTATTCTGTTGATTAATAACAAAACCTGTTCATTAGCTTCACAAATCAAAAATAATACGAGTAAATTCAACAAAAGAGTTTCATGTTGAAACTTAATATTTTTAAAAGTTATCATTGTGTTCAACTTAGAAAACAATCCAATTGGCTCTAATGAGTTAGACGATTCTTCAATAATATCGGAACGAATTGGCTCAATTAGAGAATCAGTGATTTCAAGGATATTAGGAATAGACTCTAGTTCAAGCATTATGGCTTGCGCGTCTGAGTCTCCAATTTTGTTGAGAAGATAGGTTTCGTATAGTTCTGTTGCTTCTGCAGATCCCAAATTATTAACGTTTGATATGTTTTGATAAAGCTTATTGTAAGTTTTAGTGGATAATCTTTGGGTTAAACTTATAAGCAAAGACGCAAGACGACCTTCGTTTGAAGATATTTTTTGAAATGGAAAACTTTCATAGTAATGTGATGGTCTAATAACTCCAATCCCATTAACTTGTAATGTGAGCATGGATGCTCTGTTTGTTAAGGATAAGGCCAAAACTTCATGACTTGACTTTTTGAATTCTTCACATAACAAATCCAAATTATACCAAGAGGTTTTGGGATCAGAAAATGATGTCTCACGAATAGTGTCATAGATAGCTTGACGAATAGAATGACGATCGAAATTTTTTATGGTGTCTAACTTTGCATGCTTTCTAAAAATATTGAGGGCAGTAGTGACAGTTAAATTATCGTAAATACCGTGGTTCAAAATCTTGTTTGCATAGTAATCAACGTTGTGTTGAGGTGAGAATTCACTTAAGGTATTTAATTCAGTATGAGACCAGTTAATAGATCTTTTCGAGCCATCATTGAAGTCCAAAAGATATGAAACAACAATGGAGGATGTATTCGACTTCCATAAGATATGATACCTTATGCTATCACCGAAAAACTGTGTTTGATAATCTTGAATCAACCATATAGAAGAGAAATTTTTCTTTTTTTGACTTTCAGGGGTTACATCAGGGTCAATTAATAAGTCCGGAAGTTCAGGTCTGAAAGTTAAGTGATCCAATTGAGTTAATTGAGCATTTGATTTATATTGAGAGATTTTCCAAACACTAAAAGTAGATCCTGTTTCATTATCCTGATTACGAGAATCAGCAGTATAGTATGCGATTAAATATTTTTCTGCAGTTTGTTCATCTTCAATTACTTGAAAATATTTATTTGGTACAAAAGTAAGCCAAACAGAAGGAATTGATTTATCTTTTGTGAGTTCAATTGGTGAAGCCACTTGATTTCTGGTACGTAAATTCCAGATATTTAAAACCTTGGTAACCGATAAAGTGACGATAATGTCATCGCCTATAGCAATCAAGTCAACGATTGAGTTTGAAGAAGTACCATTCAAAACCACCTCTTTTCTTGACCTTGAGAAAAGGCCAGTAACAAAATTTAATGGTAAAACGTAATTGGAATTATTGAAATTGTAAACATCAAATGCATCTAATGGACTTCTTCTATTAAAATATAAAAGACCCCCATCTTTTAAAGAGACAAAAACATTATGAGGACTGGTACCCTTGACCAAAAATGGAGAAGATCTCAATTCGAAAGAGTATGGTACAGATATATGACCCCAAGAATCAAAATTGTCAAAAGTCAATCTCGAAGAATCTTGAATAACAAAGTCCTCTAATTCTAATTGGAAAGTAATAAACAAATAGTTCTCATCAATCAAATCAACCAATAAAGTAGGTTCTGGATTAGAAGTGTCCAATTGAATGCTGACCCTGCTACTTGATACAACTGAATGAGGTAAATCAACTTGTAAGCGTTTAAATTTAATATTCAATCTATTTGGTTGAAGTAATACCGGGGTAAATCTGATAGTTTTCAAATCATTTAAGACTTCGTAAGAAACATAGTCTAAGAAATACGAGCCATTCTTATTCAACTCTATAATATCACCAGAATTAGAAGTTTTAGCAACGAATTGTTCGTTCAAGTTTGGATTTTCATCGGTCTCTATATATTTCAATGGAAGCCTAACTCGCTCCACAGGTAAATGATCAGAGTATCCTGCGATATTCGAAACAGAATACGTCTTTTCCATCTTGACCAACTAGCCAATCTCTTAATCTATACTTAAGCTTAGAGTAATAGGAGATACTATCTGATTTGTAGGATTTGTATGTTTTTTTTTTTTCTATTTAAAAAAAAAACTTCGAAGAGACAAATTTTTGTTAGGCGCACCGAAAACTTGAAAAAAGATAGAAAATGTATGAGATATGAAGATTGAATTTACTTCAATTCACATTCAACATATTCAAAGCACCATGTCATCTACAGTGTTCTACAAGTTTCTTCATCAGAAGAACCAATCGACGATACACTTTGATGGAACTGGGATAAATGTGTTTGACTTAAAGCACGAGATTACAATACAGAATCAATTGGGAGAAGGCCAGGATTTTTCATTGAGATTATATCATTCTGAACAGCCCGATCTTGAATACGAAAATGATCAAGATGTTATACCCAGATCGTCGTTTGTGCTAGCAAGACGGTCCCCTGTATCGTTCAGGGGAGCCAGGTTTCATAGTGCTGCTAGATACGTTACTGGTAAACCTCGTATTAATAAAAGAATGATTAATAATGCAAATGCATCTACTAGTAATCAGAATAATCCCGCACAGACAACTGGTGCCACTGCAGTCGATGAGAACATGTCAGAAGAGGATAGAATCAAGATGATGTTTCAAAACCAGTCCAATGTTTGGGCCCAGACTCAAGATGAGTTATCAACACATAAGATGATTCACTTTAAGCCAACCGCGGGAGTTACCAACGCGGAAGACCTTCCTCCTCCTGGATACATGTGCTACCGATGCGGTGGGAAGGATCACTGGATTCGAAACTGTCCTACTAATACCGATCCTAATTTCGAAGGTAAGAAAATCAAAAAAACTACTGGTATTCCTAGATCTTATTTAAAGACAATTTCCAAAGAGACTTTAGAAGGAGCAGCAGAAACTGGGAAGGATGGTATCACCAGAAATGAAGATGGGGAATTAATCGATGCTAAGGGGAATACCTATATGATAACCGAAGACGGTGAATATGTAATAGCCATGGCTGATAACAAGACTTGGCTTAATTATCAACAAAAACAACAAAATGCAGTAATGAAGGCTAAACTTGAGTTCGAACAAAAATTATCAGAGAGAATCGAACAAGATAAAAAAAATGAATTTTTAGACCCTCTAAAATCAAATAAAGTTTTAAGAAGCCCAATAGTGATGACTCCCTGTTGTCAGGATAAATCCAAATTGAAAAATATGAAGAATTTCAATTACCATCAGCCTGATTTAGAACAATTACTAATCGATAAAGATTTCCACTGTCCTAATTGCGATACAGAAGATATCTTTTTGGATTCCTTAATACGAAATACCGACCTAGAACAACAAATTAACGACTACGCCAAAGAAATTGGTTTGGAAAACCCCGATGAAGAGTCACTCAAGAGAAGCGTGGATGCCGTTGAAGATGAAAACGATGGCAGTGATCCAAAAAGACAAAAAATCGGATTACCTTCAAAACCTAACTTACCCCTGGTTCCTCCAGCCATGGCTCCGTTTGGAATGCCTTTCATTGCTCCAGGCATGCCAATGCCTCCTATGTTCATGCCTCCCAACTTCCAAACCCCTCCTCCAGGCACCGGCCAACCTGAAAAGTAATCTATATATATACATATAATCATACAGTCAATACATAGTCAGTATCCAAAGTATTTGCAGTAACCCTATACAAATTGTAGACCCAGACATTTCTGGGTGGAAGTTACCCGGCAATTCTTCGAGTGCGTGAAAAAGTTCAACTACTTAAATTTAAAAATTTTCACTTTCTTCTACTTTCCTTTTCTTCTTTTTATTTGTCAGAATGGCAGCTTAATGAAGGTGTTGGTGACAACTTTAAGACCTTGAGTTCAAAGTGTATGTTTGCAACCTACTAGTATGCTTTTTCATACCTATGCGAATATGAGTTTATCTGATGAACGAAATTAAAAAATTTTCAAACTAGAGTTTGTGACTACGGAATGATCACAGTTAATGCATGGCTTACTGAACTAAATTCAAAATACGCATATTGAATTGAAGCTACTTTTATATTTTGAAGATTCAAAATACTAACTTTTTATTTAGCTTTGAGCTGTTGCTAATTTTCCATTTGAGCTATATAAATCGTATGTTTTATTTTATTTTGACAATTAGAACTTTATATATTATAATGATGAGAAATCAAAAAGAAAGCTGGAATTACCTACTGAATCTCTTTGATTGATAAATTTTTGCACCTTCGCTGATATAATATCTTAAGATCTAAATTTGATCAAAAAATTTAAAGTACAATAAACTAACTAGTATTTAGGTATGTCAAGTTTTATAATTTAATATGATTGTTGACCTTATACTTGAATTTTTTCATGAGGAATGTTTGCACTGGGCACTGAATAACTTTATGAGTGACAATGCATTAATGGTGGGCCTCAGAAACCCATCGTAACTGATTTGAATTCATTTATTTTGGTTTGCAATGATGTTATTATTGTTTAATAAAGGATATATGTTAACTGTTGAATAGACGTTTGGGTTTATTACTTTTCAAGCAAGAGTTAAACCGTATGTATACATCTTCCATATGATTTGATAGATGATGATCTCCTAGATGACGAGTCAGAATTTCGGGATTCCCGTTGATGACAACCTTTTTTTAATACCATTCATGCATTTCTGATATCTAAACAATATTTCAAAATTGTGAAAAGCAATTACTAACAATGGTAGCTTTCTCTGAAACTCTTTTCGTTTCCATGGTTGGAAATTCTAGTGTTACAGTTGGTGGAAGGATTTTCATCTGGTCATATTTCTGATTTGAGTGTTTTATTTATGGTTTTTAAAGGATGAATTTGAAAAATAAAAGACAAGCATATGTCTGAATTCTATAAAGAAGACAATTTTTTCATGTCTGATAGCCATATTTATCTACAATACTCGGTCTTTGAATTTTGATCAAAATATTGTTAAATTCTTTTGATGGACTCAATAGTTTGATGATTATTTCGTCTTCTAAAAGGTATGTTTCTATTTTTTATATCTTATTTTGTTCCCCTTCTTGATAATGTTTATGATGATTATACCACAATTATCACGACGGTCTACTGCGTATTGGAACTTGTAATTCCTTTACTTTGATGATAAATTTTGGCCTTGACCGGCCGTGGTTCCTGATACATTTAATTTAAATCAAGATTGACAATGTTTTCTTCGATTCATGTTCTAACAAATTATTCTAGAATTTATTCAATATCGTATTTCTTTACCTTCTCATGTAATTTACATAGTATTCTATGATGACCTTTAGTTACATTGAAAATATTTTTAATGAAACCTCAATAAAAATAATTCGATTTGCATGTCAGTCTGATCTATACAGTTGTATATTACATGAGACATTAGTTTATATCCAAGTAATATATATCCAGAACTCACCCATCGTCTGTAGTCTTATACTTTGTAATAGTTGAAGAAATTTAGAGGTGAAAAAAAAAAAAAGAATTAAAAAAAGCGCAAAAACCGTTCCATCGCAGAACATCGTTTTTATCAGTTACTGTTTTATTGATTAAATTGGGTTTTAGGCTGTTACAGAATCACCGACGAGTTTATTCAATAGAGGGGAGTCTGTTCAAGTCATAATGCCTTTCCATATTTCAAAATTATCCCATATATCAGATAATAAAACTGCAAAAAAAGAAGGAAAAGATCTTCAACCCGTTTTATCAAATGATCCTCCATCGTACGATGACTCCATACATTCATCTTCTTCTCATAGTAATACAGTTACCCCAATTACTACACCCTCTAATGGGGGGAGACTGAGTCCTGCTCCAGCAATCACTGGTAATAGCAGTAGCAGCATTTTAAGGTCAGTAAAATCAAATCCTCATCAGAATAAACCATATAGACCCTCAAAAGAGCAGCAAGGACAAATTGATCTTCTAAATGGTATAAACTCATTATCATCGGTTAGCTCAGGAGCTCAGACGGAATACTTTGATGTTCTACCGTCATTTCAAATGTTTCAATCCATTTTGAAAAGAGATGATAGTCAATTTAGTGAAAATTTATTAATTGATCCTCCTGTTTATGGTGATACAACCCATTCTTCTCCCACCCCGCCAAGGTCTCCTCCAGGAAGGTCTGGGAATGAAAATACCAATAATGTAATGGACAGTGTTTCACAAAGACTAAGTGATTATGGATTGGGTGAAGATAATTCACGTCCTTATGAAGAAGAAGAAGAGAACTTTCTCTTTTCTGATGAAGACCCTCACCCCGATGGTAGTAACGCAAATAGCCAGACTGGGTCAGCTGAAGCAGTATCGACTCATGAAACCTACGGTCATACTGTTCTTGATAACATTGATCGATTACCTCAATTGAATACCTCACCAATTGATATACAAATTGTCGTAGCTAAAGGTGTTCCTCAAGCAAATGCAGCTACAGAAGTAGAAACCAGACTCAAAGAATATACTAGTGGCGATTTAGTGAATGGTTATATTATCATCACTAATAAGTCCGATAAACCGGTTGATTTTGGTTTATTTACCGTTAGTTTGGAAGGAACTATTAAGGCAACAGAACGAGATTTAAATATAAGTGATTTTACTCTTCACAAATTTAAAAAAGTTCTTATAAAAAAATTTTTAAAAATGTATGATTTGAATGCAAGTTATGGGTATACCCATATTCCAAATAGTGCTGGTATTGAGTATGAAGCATTTACTAATGATGAATATGATGGTTGTCAGCTTGGTCTTCCAGATGAAAGAATTCTTCTCCCCCATGTAAAATACAAAAAATTCTTCACTTTTAAATTTCCAACAAAGCTTCTTGATAATAATTGTGTGGATAATTTATTACCACATAATCTTCCTCCCCCCTCTATGGGATTGGATAAAACCTGTTTTTATAATAGAGGTGACACTATTCAACTCAATAAAGCCTTGGGATATGGGTTCTTAAATGTTCGAGGTACTCCACTTCTAACGAGAGACTATGCGTTTGATGATGTAAGTATAAGTTATACAATCGAAGCAAAGTTTATTGATAAATTAGATGCCGATAACCAAGATCCATTATCACAACATGAAATTAACGATCCTAATAGTGATTCCAATTATGTGATTTCCAAACATAATCAATATTTCTTAAGATTTATTCCTGATTTAAGAGAACAATTAGAATATTTTAATCAAGGGTATCAGTTATTAACTTCCACTTATGAAACGATGGGAATTGATGGTAAACTATTTCAAAATTATATCCAATTAAGTTCTTGGAGAGCGATTCATGAGCTCAATTCTCAAATAGAGAGAGAAATTGATGTTAGATTAGCTTCAGAGGAGTTGAGCATTGAAGAAATGAAACATAAAAATTTGCTCATTGAAAACCGAGATTTCACCACTAATACAATAAACCAATTGGACTTAAAAGATCACATAACCCGTCAAATATACTATGATCGAGGAAATTCTTGGGAAGTTGATGACATGTTAGAATATCAAGATAAAAGAATGATAAGTAATAAAGTACCAATTAGTGTTTTTGGTAAAAAGAAAAAGAAAATTTTATCTTCATTAGTTTACATTGGGAAGCTGAGACTATACGTGAAGGTTCCTAGTAAAATATTTCCTTACTCATCACCTAAGCTTTTAATGAAATACAATACTCCCCCAGAGGATAATGGAGCTGGTATCCATTCTACCATAACGGGACAATCTGTTGCATCGAGTGAGTCTCTTAAACCAACCTCATCAGTTGCAAGTAATATGCTAAATATTTACCATAGAAAGGATAATTTAACCGAAGTTGAAATTGAGCTAGTATTTGAACCAACCAACAACTCAAATAAACCACCATTGATTAGTCAACTTGAAACAAATTTGGTTTTCTGGTCATTTAATACTGAATATCCCTTACCAGTTGAAATGAACTATGACTTTTTCTATAAAAATGGGGAAAAAATTGAAGTTAAAAACCCAGAGGCCTCAGAGGAAGATGACGTTGAAATCACGAGAAAGAACTTACAGGCACTTAAAGATCAAGCCAAAAATTATATAAATTTCTTAAAGGTCAATAAAACTTTCATTTCCAAGTCTTCTTTTCTTTATTTGAAAGCCATCAAAAGTTTGGGAATCAAAAAAGACATTATCAAAGACTATTTTGAAACTTTGACTCTGACCACACACAACTCTTTGTTAAATGACGAATCCGGCTGGCAAATCAAACAATTACCCAATCAGAAATTCAGATACATCAAAAAGTTAACCATCCCCTTAACTACAATCAATAAGAATAACATCACGCTTCTCCCCAGTTTCCAAAGCTGCTTGGTTGGTAGAATATACTGCTTGCAAGTTGTTGTCAAATACAAAGGCAGTGGAGGTGACCAAAATGAGTTTGCCGATAACATAGTTAGAGTTGATGTCCCTATATTAGTGGGATAATAATGCAAAACGTAATCTGCAAACCATCAAAACTGTAAATTTTCAACCTGTAAATATCCGCACCCCAACCTGCAAACATGGCGGGTGATTAAGTCACTGAACGTGCATGATTACTCAGTGACACAGTGAAAATTTTTCTTATAGGAAAAAAGTCATTAAGCGCGGTTCGTTATCTGGCTCTTTTAGTTTTTGCTGAAATTTTTCACTACTTTACTTTGACTCATATAAGGTCTTCGAAAGAGAAAAATATATATATATATAGGTTTTTCCTCTTGATTCTAGGTTGAGATAGTTGTTTATTGGTATCAACATCAAAATGATTAATGCTTTCAAGAATAAAGTGACTGGTACATCTAGTTTACTCAAGTTATCCACTCGTTATTTGGCTAGTGCTGCTAATTCAAGCTTTAGTAAAACCTCACAATTGGACAGAGCTACTTTAACTATAAAAGATGGTCCAGTTTTCAATGGTTATTCATTTGGTGCTAATAAGAATATTAGTGGTGAAGCAGTTTTCACCACTTCATTAGTTGGATATCCTGAATCAATGACTGATCCATCATATAAGGGACAAATTTTATGTTTTACCCAACCATTAATTGGGAATTATGGTGTTCCATCATCTACATTGAAAGATCAATTCAATTTATTGAAATATATGGAAAGTCCAAGTGTTCAATGTATTGGTATTGTTGTTGCCGATGTTGCATTAGAATATTCTCATTGGACCGCAGTTGAATCTTTACAACAATGGTGTCAAAGATCAGGAGTTGCTGCTATCAGTGGAGTCGATACCAGACAATTGGTTAGTTACTTGAGAGATAAAGGATCATCCTTAGCTAAAATAACTATTGGAGAAGAATATGATGCTGATGAAGATGCAGCATTTGAAGATCCAGGTTCAATTAATTTAGTTCATAAAGTTACTACTAAAGCACCATTTCATATAGCATGTCCACCAGAATTGAATAAAGGTATTCATATTGCTGTTTTAGATTGTGGAGCTAAAGAAAATATTTTGAGATGTCTTGTTCAAAGAGGTGCCTCATTAACTGTTTTCCCTTATAATTATCCAATTGATAAAATTGCTAATAAATTTGATGGTATTTTCATTTCAAATGGACCAGGGGATCCAACTCATTGTTCTAGTACTATTGAACATTTACAAAAAACTATGAATAAATATAATGATTTACCAATTTTTGGTATTTGTTTAGGTCATCAATTATTAGCTTTGGCAAGTGGTGCTAAAACTATTAAATTGAAGTATGGTAATAGAGCTCATAATATTCCTGCTTTAGATTTAATAACTGGTAAATGTCATATCACTTCTCAAAATCATGGCTATGCTGTTGATACTTCAACTTTAAGTGAAGAATGGGAACCTTACTTCACCAATTTGAATGATTTATCAAATGAAGGTATGCAACATAAAACTAGACCAATTTTTTCAACTCAATTCCATCCAGAAGCTAAAGGTGGTCCATTAGATACTTCATTTTTATTCGATAGATTTTTCAGAAACATCGATGAATATAAATCAACTAATGGTTTAAACTTAGGAAATGTTGATAATTCATTATTAGTTGATATTTTGCCAAAACAAAGAGTCATTTAATGTCTTGAAAAAAGAAAAAGCTGTTTATATAGATGATGATTTAGACGTATAAGTATAATACATTTTATTAAGAAACTCGTACTTGTAGGAGCTTCTTCGGATTCGTGCAACATGTTTTGCAACCAAGCTAGGTTATTCTAATCATGTTCCATACATAATCGTTATTCTATCCATGTTCTATTCATGTTGTATTAAGTCAGGAGACTCGTTCAGGGACATTCAGAAGATATCCAGGAGATTCTTTAGGGTTCGGTTAGCTCTGTCGTATCGAAAGCTCTTCAAACGATGTATACCTCCATCAGAACAGCTTACCATTGCTTCTACAACTGCAAGCCCCAAGTAAGGTCCGTACATTCGTATACCTTCGTTTACATCGTATAGACCCTATGAAGCAGCGAAAGGACGGTATTAAAGATCAGGCCATTGTCGCAAAACCAAAAAAGAAAAATTTTTTTGTTGCTGCTAAAAATCACCAACTAATATCAGATGATATTAAGTGTATACCGTGTAGCGTGTTTAACGTTATACGAAGGGTCGGAACGAAGTAAATATATAAAAATGGATGAATGAGCCGGAGTGAAATAAATGCAATAGTCATTAGAGCAAAATGGATATATTTAAACAAACCTCATCACTTCAATATATTATAAGCAATTCGTTTGGCAATGTTAATAATGCTACTGGGCAAGCTCCAACAAGTTATATGGGAGTGTTGAATAATTTGCAAGAGCTTTCAAATACTGATGTGTTTATATCGAAGTTAAACATAATAGAAAAATTATGGGCATCATGGTATTTATATATGAATAATGATGTATTGGCTACCGGGTTATTATTTTTTTTAACTCATGAACTCATGTATTTTGGCCGTTGTTTACCGTGGATGATTATAGATCGAATTCCATTTTTCAATAGATGGAAGATCCAACCAACTAAGATTCCAAGTAATAAAGAACAATGGGAATGTTTTAAATCAGTGTTAAAACTGCATTTATTGGTGGAAGCATTACCTATCTGGTTATTTCATCCGCTCTGTTCTACATTAAAAATATCCGTTGATGTTCCATTCCCAAGTCTTTTCACCATGCTTTGGCAAATTGCCATTTTTTTCGTTTGTGAAGATATGTGGCATTATTGGGCCCATAGATTATTCCATGTGGGTTGGTTCTATAGAAAAATCCATAAACAACATCATAAATACGCTGCTCCCTTTGGTTTGGCTGCAGAATATGCTCATCCGGTTGAAGTGATGTCTTTGGGTTTTGGTACGGTTGGATTCCCAATCATTTATGCTCTTTTAGCTAAAAACTATCCGGAATGGGACTTGCCTGATTTACATTTATTTACAATCACTACTTGGATTGTTTTAAGATTATACCAAGCAGTTGATTCTCATTCTGGTTATGATTTCCCTTGGTCGTTAAATCATTTTTTACCTTTCTGGGCCGGTGCTGCTCATCACGATGACCATCATCATTATTTCATTGGGAATTATGCTTCTAGTTTCAGATGGTTTGACTACTGCTTAGACACTGAAAGTGGTCCCATTGCCAAAGCCGGAAGAGAAAGAAGATCAAGACAAAAATCTGAAAAAACGGCTAAAAAATTTATATAGGTCCTCAATATAACTATGTAATGAAAACCTTGTCATAAACTAAAATGTATTAACCATCGTTAATGTAATCTTTATCATCCCTAATGTAATCTTCATCATCCCTAATGTAATCTTTATCATCCCTAATGTAATCTTTATCATCCCTAATATCAATCCTAATGTAATCTTTATCATCCCTAATTAATGAAGTGTGCAAATAATTATTGTTGCAAAATGCGAGGGCTGGTGCCCTTTCGTCTCACGTGCACTTTATGGTACCCACGTGACGTGCACTAACGTGTCCCGGTCCAAAATCCCCGGCCACCAAGCGCTGGTGGACCGGTGTGCACACAAGCTTCTTTTTCCAGCGGTTGACCGTAGTTAATTTTTGTATGGTGCGAGCTTCTGCTAACAAAACAAAAAAAAAAAAAAGAAAAAATGTGAAGGCTCTTCGCACAGTAACAAAACCAACTCTCAGTCGAAAAAGTTTTGTAGAGAGAGAAGGAGGAAAAAAAATTGTATTGAAAAAAAAAATTTACATTTGAGTTGTTGTTAGTCTTCCATATACATTCGGAATATCACCAGTAAAAGTATGTTCAAGATTTGCATGATCAAGAATGAATGTGTTCTATATATGGGCTGTCTGTATTCAGTGAAGTTGTCTGATGGATTGAAGATTGAACGTTGGATGAAATTTAGTGATTGAAAAGTGATGATGGGAGATTGAAAAATAACAGTAACCAACTCCCAGGATAATTTTTTTTTGCTTTCTTTAGGATATTGTCAAGTTGGGGAGTCCATGAGTTTTCACAAGCCTTTGACCATTCGATAGGCACATTCATTTCAATTTACTTAACATTAATACTAACCCATAATTATAGAATGTCTAGATTAAACGAATATCAAGTTATCGGTCGTCGTCTTCCAACTGATTCTGTTCCAGAACCAAAATTATACCGTATGAGAATTTTTGCTCCAAACGTTGTTGTTGCTAAATCTCGTTACTGGTACTTCTTACAAAAATTACATAAAGTTAAAAAAGCCTCTGGTGAAATTGTTTCTGTCAATGTTATCCATGAAGCTAGACCAACCAAAGTTAAGACTTTCGGTATCTGGTTAAGATACGATTCCAGATCTGGTATTCACAACATGTACAAAGAATACAGAGGTACCACCCGTGTTGAAGCTGTTGAAATCATGTACCAAGATTTAGCTGCTAGACACAGAGCTAGATTTAGAAGTGTCCACATCTTAAAGGTTGTTGAATTAGAAAAATCTGATGATGTTAAAAGACAATACGTTAAACAATACTTATCTAAAGATTTGAAATTCCCATTACCTCACAGAGTTCAAAAATCCGATAAATTATTCCAATCTCGTGCTCCTTCTACTTTCTACTAGATTATTTAGTTGTAAGTACCTATTGAAATAATTAAATAAATAAAAAAACAACCTCATAAGGCTATTTTGATATTGAAAATGGTTTCTATATTTTAATCTTTTCTTCATCTCTACTTATATATATTATTAATTTAAAAAAAATATATGTGATTTTCTATTAACAAAACCTCCGTACATTTCCTGTTTTTGGCTTGCGGCTCACTTATCGCGGATCCGGGTTCCCTTATAATTTTAGTATAAATTGGTATAAATTCCACTTATCATTTCCCACTGTTGTTCAATTGATTAATTAAACAATGTCATATGGTTCAAAAGCTGCCGAAAGATTGGCTCAAAAAGTAGTTCTTATCACTGGTGCTAGTGCTGGTATTGGTGAAGCCACCGCTAAAGAAATAGCTGATGCTGCTGCTGGAGATGTCAAATTAATTCTTACCGCTAGAAGAAAAGATAAATTAGATTCATTATCTGATTCTTTAATCAAACAATATCCAGATATCAAAGTTTTAACTACCGAACTTGACGTTTCCAAAACCGATACCATTCAACCTTTTCTTAATGGATTACCCGAAGAATTTGCTGATATTGATGTATTGATTAATAACGCTGGTAAAGCTTTAGGTAGAGATGATATTGGTACCATTTTACAAGACGATATCGAAGGCATGTTTCAAACAAACGTCTTGGGGTTAATTGCATTAACCCAAGCTGTTTTACCAATATTTAAAAAGAAAAATTCTGGTGATATTGTAAACTTAGGCTCAATTGCCGGTCGTGATAGTTATCCAGGTGGTGGGATTTACTGTCCTACAAAAGCTGCAGTTAAATCTTTCAGTCAAGTCTTAAGAAAAGAATTGATCAACACTAGAATTAGAGTCTTAGAAGTCGATCCTGGTAATGTTGAAACAGAATTCTCAAACACAAGATTTAAAGGTGATTTAGAAAAAGCTAAAAAAGTTTATGAAGATACTATTCCTCTTGTTGCTGAAGATATCGCAGAAATCATTGTCTTTGGTATCACTAGAAAACAAAATACAGTTATTGCCGAAACTTTGGTATTCAGTTCTAATCAAGCCTCTGCCTCTCATCTCTACCGTGGTAAAATTTAACCTTAGCTTATATAAAATTATATAGACGGAATAAATTCGCAATCAAAAAAATGTCATATCGGATCGAAACTCCGGACCCCCCACAAATCGCTTGATTTGATTTGACAGCTTGTTGAATTTCATCCTCCCTTGTAAACTTAACTCTTCTTTTTCGCTGATATTCGGATTCTGGCGGAAAAGCACGTAATCCTTTAAATTTATTCGGAATACTGGAACTTCTCATTCTTGAAAAGACTTTCGAAAAAAAAAAAAGGTTTACTTGATACTCCTTCTTCTTCAATTATGTCATTTGGTTCTAAAGCTGCTCAAAGATTAGCTAATAAAGTTATTTTAATCACTGGTGCAAGTTCTGGTATTGGTGAAGCTACCGCTAGAGAAATTACTCAAGCTGCTGCTGGTAATGTTAAATTGATTCTTGCTGCAAGAAGAGAAGATAGATTAAGTACATTGACTTCAGAATTACTTAAATCATTTCCTTCTGTTAAAATACATAATGCTAAACTAGACGTTTCAGTTCAAGAGTCAATTGAACCTTTTATCAATAGTTTACCAAAAGAATTTGCCGATATCGACGTATTGGTAAATAACGCTGGTAAAGCCTTAGGTAAAGATCAAGTTGGAGACTTATTACAAGAGGATATTCAAGGGATGTTTCAAACAAATGTCTTGGGGTTAATCAATTTAACTCAAGCAGTCTTACCAATATTTAAGAAAAAAAATTCTGGTGATATAGTTAATATTGGTTCTGTTGCTGGCCATGAATCTTACCCAGGTGGTTCAGTCTATTGTAGCTCCAAAGCTGCAGTTAAGTTTTTCAGTCAATCTCTTAGAAAAGAATTGATTAATACTAAAATTAGAGTATTGGAAGTTGATCCCGGTGCAGTTGAAACTGAATTCTCTCTTGTTAGATTTAAACAAGATGCTCAAGCTGCGAAGAAAGTTTACGAAGGTACAACTCCTTTAGATGCTTCTGATATTGCTGAAATCATTGTTTTTGGGCTATCTAGAAAACAAAACACCGTTATTGCAGAAACTTTGGTCTTCCCAAGCCATCAAGCTTCTTCTGTTCATGTCCATAAAGGTTAAGGAATCAAAGGTAGTAACTTCTTTAGAAATCTAATTCAAAAATTACAAAGTATAAAGGATAATCAGTTTTGGTCTTTTTGGGTATCCAATTGATCGAGTAGTTTTGACTTGTAGCGTAGTATTAATGAGCAGCTCTTCCCAATCGTATTGAGATATGCTGCTACACTCACCTCAAAATCAACCTTGCTTTGAAGAAACTTCGATTCAAACAATATCTTTATCGAACATTTTGCTAGTTTTTTTTTTCAAAATCGGTACTAGTTCTCGTCTTCTAGACGTGCTCGCGGCTGCGAAAAAATGCTTTATCACATATAAGTTCTTTCATTTATTAAACCTGAAGCCTATTTCAAGTATATGCTGAAGTTTTAGCAGTGCTGTCCCTCTTTCATATAATCCCCCCTCTTTTGGTTTTTACTATAGTTTTCATAACAATATAGTTATTTGCTTCAATTTACATTATTTATTTGATATAAAATCCTACCAAGATGGTTTGGTAGTCTGATGGTTGCAGTGGTGACATTATCTTCGAGCATGAACTATATAACTTCACTTTCATCGCCAACATTGATGGTAGAAGCGCTATCGTAAGCATCTGCAAGTATAACACTTATTGCCTGACCTGAGATTTCTAAGTCTTCATGAACCCGTTTGGCGATTTCATCGAGCCAAAAACCTTCCCTTCAGGGTCTTTTTCTGATACCCAATGAATATCATCTTGAGTTAGTTCTAAAGCGGTGGTAAAACCAGCAAAAGCAATCGAAATAAAAAAATATATGTTGATAAATTACATTCATTAAATGAGTTGGCCCAGTGAAATTCATTCAGAGTCACCGAGAAACTTAAGCATGTTTATTCCAACTTCAATTCAAGATAGCCTTATCCATGCAAACCACGAAACCAGTTTCCTCTGACCTATCTGGATTTATACTGATTGCCTATTACTTTCCGGATCATATTCAACTTGATTTGTAGGTTTAACGCATATGACGAAAGTTAAAAATATATTGTCTTATTTACTTAAAAAATTATAATTTTAGATATCTTTTTAAGTAAGCATTTGAGCCTCGAATCTAAAAAAAAATGGGTATATACAAACTTTGACATTTCTATGAATCATTTCTATAAATAATCCAGTCTGAATCGGGAAAATTCCTTCAGGATTAATGGCTTATATGGCTTATACTGGTATACGAACTATCGTATATATACTAAGCCCATACTTATACAGAGGAGTATGAAATTCAACTAATTTGATGAAAATAGATTCATTCAGCCTTGTAAATTTTGTTAACTTTGGAGTTTATCATTTTAATCGCAAAAACTATTTTAAACCACACTCAATTGAAGGCTTATACGCCTTATTATCGTTCCACGAATGGAAGTGTTTTCATTTGCCCTAAGTCTGTGCTCTTGAATTAAAATTAGCCTAACAATAATAAGTAAGTTTAACCAAATCTCTGCATATCGCAAGAAGCAATTATCAATTGAAAAAATATTCATCTGTCAAAACTACCCTTTTTTGACGTGGCTGCAATAAGTAGATATAATTAGTTTCAAAATCACAGGTCAGCATTTTTCATGTACTAACTAGACTCGAGCAATTGATAATTGGCCCTACTGCTGGTAGTCTGGTATCCTTGTAACCTAAGGCTGCAGAGTCGTTCTCTTAAGTTGAGCAAGAAAGTCTCCGAACAATATGCTGAAGCTTTGGCATTGCCTGATTAAAGTCTTACAAGATGATAAAATATTGTAACAATTGAAACTTTAGTATTCCCAGTTACTAAGCTTCCTTAGTTCATGTCTATTAGTATTAAATAAATAAGTATTAAAAACTCAATTGTTCTAAAGTTTTCGATAATTTTGCTGCCCCATCAATAGATGCATTGTTTTCAATTGAAACTTTGGCTCTATTCATTTCTAATCCCGCTAATAACATACATGCTTTGCAAATTTTATTAGACGATAAGTAACCACATTTTTCACATCTATTACCATCTTTAAATTCTTTATTTAATGAAACTGAGCCATCAGCATTAACTTCAACTTCATCATTAACTTTCTTTTGATTTTTGTATTTAGGAGTGACCTTCTTTTTCTTAGGTTTCAATGTTAAATGTTCACCACTGTAAATGATATCCATGATACATGAAGGTCTGATTGCTTCTAAAGACTTCAATAATTCTCTAGTAGTACCTCTGAATGCTTCAGGAGCATATGTACATTCAGTTGAGAAATAATCTAGTTTCTTATAATGGGCGTAGAGAACAATTTCCTTTTGGTATGTATATTTGAATGGCTTTGATCTTCTAATTGGTGATCCAGTTGATTGAGTAACTATAGTAGTTGATTTTTCTAATCTTGCAGTGTCACCTCTGAGAATATTCATCAACACCGTTTCGGCTACATCATCAGCATTATGACCAGTCACAATATGATTAATACCCAATTTAGCAGCTCCTCTATCTAAAGCTTGTCTTCTCAAAACACCACAATATGTACATGATGATCTCATCCCAGCACACGCAACGATTTCGTCCATAGACCAGTTATATAAATCTTTATATGAAACAATTTCTAATGGCATCTCATATTGAGCTTGGTTTCTTTTAACTGTAGCCAATGAATCATCCCTATAACCTTTGATCCCTTCATCAATAGATAGTAATACTAACTTGAGTTGGTAATTATATCTTTCGTTCAATGTCTTCAATACCGATGCCAAAACAGTAGAGTCCTTACCACCAGACGCACCAATAGCAACAACATCCCCTGGTTTAAACAACTCAGCATCCGTTATAGTATTATGAATCTCTGTTTCAAAAACATTGTAAAAACATTCCTTACATAATTTTTGTAAGTTTTTGGGTCTCTTCATAACTGCTTTACGGCCATGACAGAGCTCACATAACGCAGTCACCTTGACTTTCCTCACTGGTAGTCTTTCTTCAGTCATATTTGAACTATAAGGTAATCCCAAGATTCGTTATTAATCAAGTTGAAAAAAAAAATTCTGTAGCTCTTCTCATGAAAAAAAAAAAAAAAAGAAAGGTTCGATATCTCATCTACTAAAAAAACTGAAAATTGATACGGTAAAATATAATTAATAACTATAAAGAAAGAAATATTTTTGGAACAAAAACTAATTATTATATAAATAACTATTTTAAAGGTTTAAGGTGAAAGGAAGCGTCTAACACCATACAATCATCATCATCATTAAAGCGAATATGAACTGACTGGTCGCCTCATCTCGATGCAGTTTTAATACCATGCAAAAATAAGGAAAAACAATAATTTACAGAAAGGTCTATTTTATTTAAATTTTTCATTTAAACAGAAGCTTGGAACTCATCATTATTAGTATTAACGTTAGCATATCTGAATCTGTTATTTTCTTCTTGTAATAATTCCTTTTGTTCTTTTTGGTGTTCTTTTTGTTGCTGTTGTTGTTGTTGTTGTTGTAATGGTTGTTTCTTACCATGACCATTGGAAGCAGTCTTTTCATTCTTTTCACTCAAAACACCAACTTTTTCTTTCATGACAATGGCTAATTCTTGCAATTTAGTTCTTTGAGGTTCGTCAGTAGCGAAATTAATAAAAGATTTATTTTCATCTAAAGTAGCATTAATATCACCAATTTCAATCATCTTTTCTAAGATTGAAATGACATCAGCAGATTCAATTTCAAAAACTTTTGATAATTTTTCAATTGATAATTTAGAGAAAACTGATTTATAAGTAAAAATATAAGTTCTTAAACCTTCAACCTTTAATTGTTTCTTTAACATATCTAATAAGTCGTCATTATCTGGGAATAATTTCCAAATTTTAATAGATGATAATAAAGAGTAAGCATTAGCCCAATCACCTTTTTGTAAAGCTCTGGAAGCATGAACAAGATGATCTTTAATACTTTCTGGAGGACCAGTGAAATATTGTCTGTCATGGAATTCCAATTTACTCTTGAAAGATTTGATGGAAGCTTTACGTTTAGAATCTTTAGTAGAGGCAGCAGCCAAGGCTGGAATCTCTATTAATAATGAGGAAGTCATGAAAGCACATTCTAATAATTCTAAATTAATATGCATATGGAATGGGTACAATTTCAGTTTTTCAGCATTAGTAGCTTGACTTGGATATTTAGAACTGAAACCTTGACCTAATAATTCTTTTAATCTTTGAGAATTAGCAATTTCATTTAATGCTTGATGAGATTCTTCAATTTCACCAGCTCTGAAAGCACTTAAACCTAATTGAACTAATGCTCTATTATATTGAACTTGTAATGAAGAATCGGCATGATGAATAGTTGCATAAACTTGAGATTCTAAAAATAAATCTCTTGCCTTTTGATATCTATTATTGATAGCATTATAATAGATTGAAGAAAGTAAAGCTCTTCTTTCATAAACTGGATTAGCTTGTTCACTTAAGAAAACAGATAATTCATTAATAACTTCACCAGCTTCAGCATCTGAACCAACAAGACTTGAAGTACCACTTATATTTTTCCATGCTTGATCTTCATTAATTTTGATTAATTGATCTGGTTTATAATAAATATGATCTAATCTTCTCAGAACAATTCTAGCTAATTGTTCACCATCGGTAGTATTTCTAATTTCTTCTGGAGTGGTTAATTCAACATAAACTTGGGCTCTTACAAGTAATTTATAAAGTTTGGTTTCATCTTTCAATCTTTCAATATATTCGGTTGAGTGAGGATCAGTATTTTGTAAGAATCTGGTGAATTCATCATCCAATCTTTCAGCAAAAGAAGTAATAGAACCAGAAATAATTTTAATACCTTGTTCATTTGCAGTTGGTTCAATATCAATATCATCAGTGGCCTTACCTAATTCAGAAACTTGATATTGATCAGCTTTTGATTCTAATAAATCTAATAAACTATTAAAATCAATTTGATTTTTTTCCCATTGATCAACTGGCATAAAAGATTGGTTAGAGTAAACATCAAATCTGATTGATAATAACATTTGATAAATTGAAATTAATTCGAATGGTTTACCAGATTTGAATTGTTCTAATAAATCTTCTAAAATACTAATTTGTTCATATTTATCAATGTTTTTCTTACCTCTAGTTTCAGAAATTTGTCTTAAAGTAGTAAAGACTGGACTCAAGACTCTTTCACTAACAGTGGCTTCAGCATCTTTAGTTTCTGGTGCTATATCCAAAGGTTCTTCAGAATCAAATAATTCAGGATTAGCTCTATATAAATCCAAATAAGGTTGATATTCTTTAGATTGTTTTTTAACTCTTTGTTTGATGGTGTTAAAAGCTCTTGATTGAGCGGCATTCATTTTTTTATCTGATTCTTTTTCATTAATACTAGTTTCATTAATAAAATCATCCAATTCACCTACTAATTTATAGTAAAAATTTGGAGTAGAAAGTTTTTGTTGGCTAGCTCTTATTAAGAAACGACCTAATTTATCGAATTCTGCCAATATACCAATCCATTCATTAGTTCTTTTATTAGTGTTAATAGTTTCAATGGAAGCTTTCATTTCATCTAACAATTTATCTTTTGCAGATTTGACAACTTTCCTTCCTTCGTCATCATCTGAGTCTGAATCCGAATCAGCAGCACCTTTCTTGAAAGAAGACTTTAAGAAATAAGAAGGACCTTTAGGACCATCTGAATCTGAATCATCATCAGAAGAATCATCATCGAATTCGGAATCTTCACTTAAATCGTCTTCAGATGAGGAGGAGGAGATGAGTTCTTCTTCTGAAGCACTCAATAAGTCTTCTTCTGAGGATGAAGAGTCAGAACTGTAGCCTGAAACAAAAAAACGAGACATTCTTTGTATATTCTTTAAGGCCTATAATGTATAACTATACTTCTTACTATACTCTAAAATTTTGATAAATCAAATTTTCCAACGAACGATGGTTCCAACACAAAAAAAACTTTTTTTTCAATTGTTCTTCCGTTTACGCGTTATGTTCTGATAATTACCCAGTGATATCGAGTTAAGAGTGGGTGTATGGGTGTTTTGGTATACATTTTAGCAGTAATCTATAAAGCAGTTCTATATACATTAATTATCAAGGTTATAGCTTCTAACTCTCAGGTACTTGAAAGCAGTTTCATTTCTGAGGGTGAAGACAGTCTCCTCACCTATACGGTCGTCATCGTCATCGTCATTAATTTTTTTACGGATAGCGTAGTATTTGATCCATTTTAACTTATTGTGTTTATAGATTCCAGCCAATGGTTTGATTTCGAAATGGTAATGGAAGGCATAGTACGGGACCGAGCCGTTCTCAATAACAACGTGGACTTCGTCTGATAGTGAAAGGGTCCAGCGACCGTGGTATATTCTATGGCCTTCCTTAGGTACCAATGGGTGTTCTTGAAGAATGGTCCCCACGCTTTTTTGGGAATTATATTTCAGTAGTTTCGGTACCACTTTATCCGGTTCCAAGCTGGATAGAACCTTAACACAGGTACCATCTGGATAAAATCTTATGTATCTATAATACGTGATTGTTCTGACTGGATTAGACCAACTAAGCGAGTTTTCTGCTTTCCCACCTTCACTATAGTAATTGACCACACTTATATAGCATCCATGGAACTTTATGAAAGGTCTGTTATGTAGCATATACTTCCACAGGTTGTTATATTGCGGAAGAATCTGTAATTGGTCTAGAGGCACCGGTAAGTCAATTGTGGGATTTCCGGGAGTTTGATTGCTTTCAATGTAAACTTTATTCTCGTAATAATTCTGATTAGGGTATATCAAATAACAAAGTTTCCTCCAAACGTTTGATTGTGCTAAACCCAAGTAAGCATTTTTTTTACAAGTAATTGAAAAATTAAACCAAGATTCGCCGCTAGTAATTAATAAAATCTCAAGTATTTGTGACCAAATATCATTGGGAAGATGGATGAGTGGTGAGACCGGCTTGATATCGGCTACCTCTTCATGATTATCAGTTCCCAAATTTGAAAATTTTATAGTTAAATCAACATGCTCAGGATTATTCGGGTCGGGTGCACTAGCTTCAACATGTTCAAACGATTGTAGAAGTTCATCCACATTTATACTCTTGACCGCTTTCTCATCGACCCTCACTGCAGTGTTTTTACCGGCCTCCTGCTTCAACTTATTTATATTATGGGGGACTTTTTCGTGTCTATAAAGCAAATCAACCTGATCATTGATCTTGAATGCTTTTCTATAAAATGCGACTGCATCCGACATCAACCCGTGGGTTTCTTTCTCCATGGCCTGCTCAAAGTACCCAATTGCTTCATGGTCGCTTTCTGAGAGACCCAGTGGTATGCTGGCTTGCGATCCTGGGTCTTCCATGGTTTATCGGTGGTGGTTGCTTCTCCAGAATGCCCTTTATTTCATTCTGATTTTTTTCTTCCTACAAAAAATGAGCTTCTTTTATATACAGGTATTTTTTTTTGCAATTAACTGATCTTTAAGCTATTTATCCAAGAATGTCATCTAGGAAGTCCTGGTCTGAGTTGTGGGGGCGACTCTTGGGCTGGAGATTGGTGCTGGTGCTTTTGTCTCCGTTTTTTAGCTGTAAGTCATTCATCAAGTCATCTAGAGACACCTCCTGAGGCGTATCTTCGACGTTGTTGGGGTTGGAATTGGAATTGGACGGGGTGCCCAAGAGTTGGTCGATATCTCTTTCGAAGTCTTCGTCTCCGATCTGGTCGTCGTCGTGGTGGGCAATTATCTTTGCGTTCAAGGCATCGAGTTGCTGACGGTCATGGACATTGATATTATTGATCTCAAGAACTTTGCCCTTGGACTTGGTACTGTTTTCGGGATTGAACGTTCTTCTCATTTGATTGTATAGTTCGTTTTGACGGGCCTTTGCGGTTCTCTCGGCGTCCAACTTCTTTTCTTCCTCGCTCAACTGTTTGATGTGCTGCTTGTTGTTGGATGGTTTTTCGCCCAAAACAGATTTCCCAATGACAAAGCCATTCAACTCGTCGGGACGGATCTTGTCAAGGGTTCGTTCCTTTTGTTTCCGGCTGTAGATATCGTTGTAGTCGTCCTTGTTCTTCACGGTATCCTTATAGCTCGAAAGACCGTATTCTTCAAGAAGGTTATCCGAAATTTTGGCTTTCAAGAGTTTTCTGGGTTTGGCCCTGGTTGGGTCCTTGGTTATAAACTCGTCCAACTTGGGTTTATCCTCTTCTTCTTTTACGTCTTCTTTTAGATCCATGTCCTTTTGTTTGCTTTCTTCGGATCCAAGGTAAATTCCGCTTGCTTCACCGTCTTCCTGCTCTTTTGATTCATTTGGCTGTTCTTGTTTCTGAGCCAAGTCCGCCAATATCTGCTGTTTTACTTTTTGCTTCTGTTCTTTCGAAAGCTCGGTTTCTCCCAATTGCGGATAGAAATCATTGATAAACGCATCATCTTCTTCCGAATCCCATTCCTCATCATCACTGTCTTGCAACACGATCCGCGATTGGGTTGTCTGTTTCTTGCTGGACCATTTGGGTCTCACCACGGGCTCCTGCACTGGCTGTAGAAGACCATGTTTCTTCAAATACTTTATTTTGGCCTTTCTATCCCACTTTGACTTGTTCAACACCATTTTATGTGGTACGAGATATAGTTATAAGAATTATTATAATGCTTTAAAAAGCAAAAAAAAAAAAAAAAAATTTTTTGAAAAAGTATGAGGAAGGAACGGCCAGATAATCAACGCGAGGGAAATAAAGATGTCCAACTCATTAATTCAACAGTGTTTGATTAAAGTTATACATAAGCATGTCGGGTGAGCCACCAAAGTCTATTCAAGACTTGTTGAATCTTTTATCAATGGGTGAACAATTAAATGATACCCAGAAAAAACAAATGAAAGACTATAAATTCTGGAGTACCCAACCAGTTCCAAGATTAAACGAAGAAATTGATTCCGAAGGACCTATCGAAGTTAAGAAACCCCAAGATGTTCCTGATGATCCTTTGCCATTGTTGAAGGACTTTGAATGGAGTACTGTTGATGTTGAAGATTCAAATCAATTAGAAGAAGTTTATAATCTTTTATATGAAAATTATGTTGAAGACCAAGATGCAACTTTCAGATTCAAATATTCCCACGAATTCTTTAAATGGGCTTTAAAACCTCCGGGATGGCGTAAAGATTGGCACGTTGGTGTTCGTGTGAAAGAAACTGGTAAATTGGTTGCATTTATTGCCGGGGTTCCAATCACTTTAAAATTAACCAAGTCTAATAAAATCATTCCAAGTGTTGAAATTAATTTTTTGTGTATTCACAAAAAATTACGTTCCAAAAGATTAACTCCAGTGTTGATTAAAGAAGTAACTAGAAGAGTTAATAAACAAGATATTTGGCAAGCATTATACACTGCAGGTATCGTATTACCTTCACCAGTTTCAACTTGTCGTTATACTCATCGTCCAATAAATTGGTCAAAACTTTACGAAGTTGGATTTTCTCACTTACCTAAAAATCAAACTAAATCATCGATGGTGGCTAATTATGCCATACCAGATAAAACCAAACATGAAGGCTTACGTCTTATGAAATCAGAAGATATTGATCAAGTTTATGATTTATTATCAAGATTTTTAGAAAGATTTGAATTAATTCAAGTTTTCGATAAAAAAGAATTGGCCCATTGGTTGTTGGGCGGTGATAGCACTAAGGGTGATTCATCGGTAATTAAAACTTATGTTGTTGAACAAAATGGTAAAATTACCGATTTTTTCTCTTATTATTTATTACCTTTCACCGTTTTAGATAATCCTTCCTATAACGAATTGGGAATTGCCTACTTATTCTACTATGCTTCTGAATCTGCCTTTGGTGATGACGTTGAAGGTTACAAATCTAGATTAAATTCCTTGATAAATGATGCCCTCATCACTTCCAAACAATATAACGTGGATGTCTTCAATGCCTTGACTTCTCAAGATAACCCTTACTTCATCAAAAGCTCGAAATTCGGTAGTGGGGATGGTTTATTGAACTATTACTTGTTCAACTATAAAACTTGGCCCATCAATGGTGGTATCGACCCTCAAACTAAAGAAGTCATCGATGATAAAAGTAGTGGCTTGGGTGTGGTCTTATTGTAATTGAAGTCATCCCCATGTCATTCTCTAGACCCTATAAATATACTTATAATTCTTTCTTGTTGCAAAATAATTAGTCTGAAGGTCAAACCTGTAAAAAAATTGCAAAACTGTAGTCCATTGAAATTTTTTTTTTTTTTTTTTTTTTTTTTTTTTTGGTAGCCTCATCTCATTGAAAAATCAAGCTTTTGATTTAGTTCAATCCGTCAATATACTTTTCCACTAAAAGGTAACAGCATAATGATTTCTTCTAGTAGTTGGGTTCCTAGAGGCTTTGCTTCTGAATTCCCAGAAAAATATGAATTGGACGATGCCGAAATGGAAAGAATTACCCAAATGGCTAATCTTGAATTGAACGATGCCAGAGAAGATTTGGCAAATGAACAAGGCGAAGAAGAAGAAGATAACGATGAAGATAAAGATCAAAAATTGAAAGAGCAAATTGAAATTGACGACGATTTAAAGGAATACGATTTGGAAAATTATGATAACGACGATGATACCCCTGGTGAAGCAGTTTCGATGTTCCCGGGATTATCAAAAGATGCTCAATTTCATCAAAATGGAGAAGAAGATGCTTATTTGACTTTACCAAAAGATAATGAATTACAAGAAGAAAAGAAAGAATCTCAAATATATCCAACTGATAATTTAGTGTTAGCAACCAGAACTGAAGATGATATTTCTTATTTAGACGTTTATGTTTATGATGATGGTGCTGGTGCCCCACAAGGATCTAATGAAGAAGAAGAAGATAAATTGGATCAGGATGTTGCTAAAGGTTTAATAAGAGATTCTAATTTATATGTTCATCACGATCTTATGTTACCTTCTTTCCCATTATGTGTTGAATGGATTAATTATAAACCAGGTCAAAATGATTCAGAGGATATTGGTAATTTTGCCGCTATTGGTACTTTTGATCCCCAAATTGAAGTTTGGAATTTAGATTGTATCGATAAAGCTTTCCCTGATTTAATTTTAGGTGAACCTCAAGATAATTCAATGCCTGCATTAAATAAAAAGAAAAAGAAGAAGTCTAAATCTAAATCTCATGTCACAACTCACCATACTGATGCAGTTTTATCTTTAGCTCATAACAGATATCATAGAAATGTTTTAGCATCTACCTCAGCCGATAAAACTGTTAAATTATGGGATTTAAATAGTGGGACTGCTGTAAGATCATTAAACACAATTCATAATAACAAAACCGTTTCTTCTTCACAATGGCATCCACAAGAAAGTTCTATTCTTTTAACCGGTGGTTATGATGGTACTTGTGGGGTATCTGATGTCAGAATATCTGATGTTAATCAAATGACTAAAAATTATAAAGTTAGTCCTGGTGAAGAAGTTGAAAATGTTAAATGGGGTCACAGTTCTACTCCAGAACTTTTCTATGCCGGTACTGATAATGGTAATGTTTATTGTTATGATGTAAGAACTTTAGATAAACCTTTATGGACTTTACATGCTCATGATGCTGGTATTTCTTCATTAGAAGTCAATGCTCATGTTCCTGGTATGATTGTTACTTCAGCCATGACTGAAAAAGTTGTTAAATTATGGAAATGTCCAAATAATAATAAAGGAGGTCCATCCATGGTTTTATCTCGTGATTTTGGTGTTGGTAATGTTTTAACCTCTGCATTCCCTCTGGATATCGAAGTTGCTGGTAATTTAACTGTTGGTGGTATTACTGGTGCTTTGAAAATGTGGGATATTTTCTCTAATAGATCTGTTCGTAACTCATTCCGTGAAGAATTGAAAACCTTACAAAAATCAGCTAGAGAATTTGCTAAAGAACAAGGTAGAGCATCAAGAATTGCCAGAAAATATCAAGGTGATAACACTGTTGAAAGTGTTATGTCCGTTGAAGCTGGTAGTTTGGAAGATGATTCCGATTCTGATGGTGAAGATGCTCATAATGATATGGAAGAAGATGAATAATTCACTTGATTATCTAATTCCAAAAATATCTATCTTTTTTTTTGTTCTCTGTATATTATTAAAAGTAGACCTTATTTAGTTTAATTGCATTTTTTGTAATAATAACATTGTATATTGTAGTATATTTTGAAAAATTTCAATATTTGTATAGTTTTGACAAAAATTGCAAAAAAATTCGAAATACAAATTGTGAATACAAATCATGAAAACGTCAGAAGAAGAAACAAATCTGTTCTCCCAACATTTTAAAAATGCCTACATCATATTAAAGAAAGAATCTGTTAGGGTCTTAGATAGGGTTCTAAGTTGGTTGCAATTCAAAAGAGCAGAAATATAAAAAATAACGACATGATTGCTTAGATTTTGTTGAGAAATTAGATCATTGAGTAAATGAAATATTGAGCAAATAAATAATTAAGCAACTGGATCATTGGACCACCTCGTTTGAAGCCTTAGCTGGCAGGTGGAAGTTACGGTAGTGATTGTTATTTCAGGAAAGCAGCCAAAGGGTCGCAAAAAACACCCATGCACCAGTAAAAGGATCAAAACGAACAAGTTTTTCTTTGCTTCAACGAACGATTAAAAACTTATCTATAGAGATACAATAAGTGAATACATTGATAATGCCACGTTTAGAGGATTGGGAAATCAAGAAGTATTGGGAAATATTCCAAGGCTTGAACCCGGTAAATAATAAATTGACTGGAGATAGAGTCTCGCCAGTTTTAAAGAATTCAAGATTAAGAGATGATCAATTATCTAAGATATGGGATTTATCAGATATAGATAACGATGGGAAATTAGATTTTGAAGAATTTTGTATTACTATGAGATTAATTTTTGATTTAGTAAATGGGAATCAGGAAAGTGTACCCAACCAATTACCTAATTGGTTGATACCATCATCCAAAGCACATTTAATACAAGCTAATCAAGCGGTTGCTAGCGGGAATAATACTTACGGGTCGAATAATACTACTGATGATGAAGAAGAGCAATTATCTGATGATTTTGATTGGTATATTTCCCCAACAGATAAGAGAACCTATGAATCGATTTATAATTCGAACAGTGATTCCTACGGAAGAGTTAGATTTGATTCATTAGAAGGATTATATCAAACATTAAGTAAAGTACCTAAATCCGATATATCATCCGCTTGGAATTTAGTGAATCCCAAATCATTTGAAACCATTGACAAAGATCAAGTATTAGTATTTTTACATATATTAAATCAAAGAGAAAATGGGAAAAGAGTGCCACGAGGAGTGCCAGCATCGTTGAGGGCCACATTTTCTAAAGAGGTACCCACTTATGATTTAAATCAACCACAAGCAAAACCAATAAGTGAGACAAGTAGTAAGAAAAATTTTGCAAGTAATTATTTGAGTAGAATTGGACAAGCCAATAATGAAAGAGGCACTGATTTTTCAGCTACTGAAGGAACTGATTGGGAAGAGGTTAGATTAAGAAGAGAATTAGCCAATTTAGAAGAAGTATTGAAAAAAGTACAAGATAATGATCAAGGTAAGTCAGGAACTACCGAGCTGCAAATGATAAAGTATGAATATGAACAATTACTTAAATTTAAGCAAGAGAAATTGAATAAAGTGAGGGAATCTAGTGATAAAGATTTGAGTGATGTTAAGAATGATATTGAATTGATTGAAACCCAAGTGACTACATTAGAAGGTTTTTTAAAAGAAAAAGAAGGCGAATTGAATCAACTTAATCAAGAAATTCGAGCATTAACTTAGTATACATATATATATATATATATATTATAGTGATGATTTTTTAAAAAAATAGAATAAATAAATTATGCAAGGCTTATTTTTTTTCACCTTCATCAGTTTGAGGTTCTGGTTCAGGAGTAGGTAATTTAAAAGATTCCGGAGTGAAATCTTGACCATCACCCACTGGTTCCCAAGAGGTTGAACCAACGGTAAAGTTTCTCCAGGCTTGGGTTAATTCCAAAGGTTCGTAAACAATTCTCTTTTTTTCTTCATCGTATCTTACTTCAGTGTAACCGGTAGTTGGGAAATCTTTTCTGAGCGGATGACCTTCAAAACCATAATCGGTCATGATTCTTCTTAAATCAGGATGGCCTTCGAAGAAAACCCCGAATAAATCATAAGTTTCTCTTTCAAACCAATTAGCCCCTTGGAAAATTGGAACAATCGAAGGAACTGGACTTGTTTCACTGGCATAGGTTTTAACTCTAATTCTTGAATTATGACGATAAGATAATAAGTTATAAACGACATCAAAACGATTAGTTCTAGAAGGATAATCTGCTGCCGTGACATCCATACAAGCTTTAAATTGAGAAGAAGTATGATTTTTCAAGAAAACCATCACTGGTCTAACTGCGGAAGGAGCAATATATAAAACCAATTCATCTTTCCAAACACTAAACTGTTGAATATATTTTGGTAAACAACCCATGATATATTTACCGAATTTATGTAATTCTTCAGTTTGTTCTTTATATTTTTCAGTTGGATTAACTAAAGGAACGTGAATATCACCCTTTGATTTTCTAGGTAAGTTATTTAAATTTACTAATTCTTCTTCTTGACATTTTATGAAACTACTGGAGAAAAACCTTGTTGCTGTTGGAGTGACTTTTGTTAGATTGGGGATCAATCTTTTATATAAGTGTCTGGAGGTAATCATTTGATGGATATGGTGGGTAAGTTGAATGAAGTAGAATTTTTTTTTTATTTTTCACCTGTATACTGCTCGATTACTAGGATAAATTTATTGAGTTACAATTGGACAGCCCAAAGGCGGACAGAGTACACGACCCCACGAGAGAAACCTCCGTACAGCCAATCAAGCACCCGTGCACCATAAACAACACCCGTGCACCAAGACTTTCTTGAGGGGTACGCGGATACGAACCGGTGTAGAAGTAAGGAAGTGAAGATATATCGATAATTAAAATGATCTCAGAAGGTAATAAGTGTGATAATAGCATCCCGATCATATACCCCTGCACCACCGCACCACCAGATTAATGTGAAACATACGAAATTGAAACTTCAATAAGGTTAATGAAACAATTGGTGATACAATTCATACCAGTAATAATAAGATCTATATTGCAGCATCGAACTGCAAGTGCGCTTTTTAAAAAAGAAAAAGAGTCGCCAATTCATAATTAATCCTGATGGAAATCGTATGTTTTATTTTAATTTGTAATACATTTTGGTTTGAATACTTACCAGCAATTTTTTACACAAGGGAAAAGGTTGATAGGACCTTAACTTTGCAACCATTAAGTGGCCATTTGCTCTCAGGTACCAAATACGCAAGATTCCGCAAAAAAGAAAAGAACAGTTAGTACTCTGAGCATATTCGAGTACAACCTCAAGTAAGAAGTAAGAAATACCTGTAAATAAGAAATCGATACAACCGAGCAAAACAAATCGTCCCCTCGTGCTAGCCACGGGTTTGCTTTAGTGATTCCACGGTGCTCCACGGAGTAATTGACTTAAACTATTACCCAACTGCCCAACTGCCCTATTGCCCTATTGCCCTATTGCCCTATTGCCCAACTGCCCAACTTGCCTAACTGCCCAACTTGCCTAACTGCTCGACTTGCCCAACTGCCCAACTGCCCAACTGCCCAACTTGCCAAATGGTCAAGTATAACCGGTTATTCGATCCTTCGACTAGTCGAGTAGAAATGGAAATGCTGACTTTTAATCCCTAGCGCGTAAAATTGGCTTTATCCATTCATCACCTTCTGCTAAGGCTTCATTATAAACTGACTCGAGCAATGAAGGTTTAACGGACAAAGAATTAACAAGGCACCCATTGATTAATGCTATTGCAACGACAGCACAACAAATCCTTTAGAGCAATACCTCATACCCCAGGCATAGACATATAGACCGACCTCAGGCATGTACCAGCTGGGCAATACGGGGGGATCTCAACTAGTCGTGTGATGGGGGTTTCTTTTTTTTTGTTTGTTCTGGCTATTTTTTTGGGCCTTCTACGTACTCCGTCACAAATAGTTTACGATGAATGCAACACCTTTAAGTTTCCCAGGTATTAATAATAATCCCATCGCTTCCAAGCCATCCTGTTGCCATGCTGCCAGGGCTATATGATGTTGTTATTGTTATTCGTTGATTGTTACTATTAATTGTTACTGCGTTGTTACTGTATTGTTACTGTATTGTTACTGCGTTGTTACTGTATTGTTGGGACTGCTGCTGCTGCTAGTGCTGCTGACTAGAGTTTTTTCTGTTTTCAATGTCTCCTGCACCTTTGAATAAACGATGCACAGATTTTTATGGCGGGCAACAATAAAAGTTTAAATTGATGGAAAACAAAAAGCAAAAACCACCAATTCGAAAAGCTAAACAAGACAAAAGGATGAAAAAAGCCAAAAAAAACAAAAAACAAAAGGATGAAAAAAGCCAAAAAAAACAAAAAACAAAAGATGAAAAAAAAAAGAAAAAAAAAAAAAAAAAAAAAAAATGAACAAAAAAAAGAAAAGATAAAAAAAAAGATAAAAAAAAAAGATAAAAAAAAAAAAGATAACAAAAAAGATAAAAACAGATTAACAATTTATGCAATTACTCTCATTAAACTAAAATTACAACATAAATATATGACAAAAGGACACTTTACCACTTAAACAGTTAAACAGCTAAACAGTTAAACAGCTAAACAGTTAAGCCTCCCACAATACAAAAAAATGCTCCCGGATATCGATCACACAACCAGGGTTTGTTGTGAGAACCACACAAATCAACCCCAATGCACACTTAAATCCACATTGGGAAATCAATCGAAGGAAAGCATCAATTAATCTAACGTCTCAACCTTTATTATTCTACAAAGAAAAGCAATTTTGTTCGAAATGTACCACTACAATAGATCCCTCCCACTACGCTTACGCTTTTCCTGTATGCTTCTTCCACTGCCGGTTGCATTTGTTTTCTCTTCCCCATCTCTACGTCTATTACTTCTATGTTTATGTCTGTCTCTTGTTTCTTCTGCTTTGTAACTTTGAATATTGAGTCGCACAGCTGCTTTTATTCTTATTGTCTGGAGTTTACTTTAAAGTTCTGTTTTTTTTATTTTTTTTTTTTTAGTTCTGTTTTTTTTNTTTTTTTTTTTTTTTTTAGTTTTTTTTTTTTCTTTTAGTTCTTTTTTCCAGTTCTTTTTTTTAGCCTTTTTTTTAGTCTTTTGTTGCATCAAAGCTCTGCTTTCGCTAGTCATGCTGATTGAGTTTTGCTGAGTTTAATGGTTGTCAATCCCTGATATATACTGTCTTTTGCTCTTTTAGTCGATATTTCCAGATTCATTCATTCATTCTTCATTCTTCTTTCTTCTTTCCTTCTTCTCTTCTTTCTTTTTTTTTCGACGCTCTTTCATTTCCTTCCTTTCTCCGAGTTGAATTTTTCAATCCTTCATCTGTCCAGTTAGTCTTCTCTTTCATAACTGGTTCTACCTCGACAAATAATTTTCCGAAATTTTGCACCTTTCTCAACTTTCTGGATTGAAAAACTCCCGGATCAAATTGCAAATATTTCAATTTGATGAATATCATGAGATACTAAGTCCAGTCCATTCATTTGTTGCTTATTCATTGCTTGTTTATTTATTTATAAGTATATTCAATTATATTTAATCATATTCAATTATATTTAATCATATTCAATTATATTTAATCATTTAATTACATTTTTCATTTAACTACATTTTTCATTTAATTACATTTTTCATTTAATTACTTTTCATTTAATTACTTTTCATTTAATTTCATTAAATTACATTTGTCACTAATTATTTTTCATTTAATTACATTTGTCATTAATTATTTTTCATTTAATTACA